AATGGACTCCAGTGAACTTTTAATTGCATTTTGCGCATGTTCAGGTCATCTTTCCACCACGCACTTGAATAAAAATAGCTCCTGAAGATCTAGACTTAAATTGAAATGGGAATCAGAGCCCAACCAGTGGACTGAGTCATCTGCTGTAATTAGACGAGCTGTGGAGATGAGGGATCTGAGCCAGAGACTGGTCACTTTAACCTACAGGCAGTGTTACAGCAGGCTGAGGACCAAGCCAAAAGATAAAGGACCAAGGCCATGGCTGTGATTCCTCTACAGAAATCTTATCTTGAGTGACCATTTCCCTTTTTAAAAGCATTTTGTTAAAGCCAGCACTACATAGAAAGAGCAATTTGGTTTATTTCGGTCTATAGTATACAGACAAATCATACATTTTGAAACAAATTTTGAGATTTTGGGTTTGACGTTGTTTGCATAATGTTTTTTTTTTTTTTTAATTATCATATTTAAAATTGTTTTACTTATTTTTTATAATTATTGATTTTTAAGTGCTGATTTATGCTTTATCTATTTGTGTATATATATATATATATATATATATATATATATATATATATATATATATATTTTTTTTTTTTTTTTTTTTTTTTCACATATGGACAGAAAAATATTTACTATTTTAAAATATTCACTATTTTCTCCCATCGCTACTGAAAGTGTTTTTTTATTATGAAAAATCTTAAATAGTTTCTTTATAAACTTTTTACATTCAAAAATGAACAAAACCTGTATTTATGGATTACTCTGGAAAGATTTGAAAATATGTGCTTATTTAATTAGATATTGTCTAAATTGGAATGTGAAAGTCGTGACATGGTTTGTGTATTGATGGCCCATACACAGAATTTGTGCTCTGCATTAACCCATTTCAAGTGCACACACATGCACACACCATGAACACACACCCAGAGCAGTGGGCAGCCACTGCCGCGGCACTCAGGGAACAGTTGTGACTCACGTCAGCCTTAGTATGGTGAGAGCACGAGTTATTCACTCTCACCCATACCTGTCAATATTGGCATGTGAAAAAAGGGATACCCCACACCCTCCCCCCTAAAAACAAAAAAAAAATTCCCATAATAAATCATTGTAAACAAACAGTTGAAACGGTCAGTAATTTGTTTAATTATTATTATTTACAAAGGATAGAATAAATAGTATACATTAGAAAATAAAAGTTTTGCCTATTCAAATGAAGAGCTATTATAAAGAAATTGAATAAAGTTATGAAATCTCATTAACCCTTTCTTTACTGTAGAATTGTTTTAAGAGCATGAATCTCTCATTTCGATTTTTCACTTGATTATTTTAAAAAACAGCAGTGTCACTTTAAAAATGCACAGATCTGTAATAAAAGCATTCAACTTTTTATGCTCATTTAAGACAAAATTAGTTGTTTAAAAGAAAACCCACCAAGATCGATATGTTTGTATGTTGTTGTTGTTGTTGTTATTATGTGTATATGTCTGTTCAAACACGCAACCAAAACACAGTGTGTCCACTTTCGCTCCACTTCAAATCGCGTGTAATCCGTTTGGGAAACAGCATCTATGGGAAAATACCTTTACGGGATGATAGCTGGTTAGAATCCTAAAATACAGGAGAATCCCGGGAGAAACGTGAGGGTTCACAGATATGCTCTCACCTTATACAATCCGTTGGGGGACTCAAACCAGTGACCCTTCTATCACAAGTCCAACTCTAACCATTATGACGGGATTTTGCTATTAGTCAATTTCCTCATTATTGCAGTAAACACACCATCAGAGATGTTGTTGCAAAAAAAAATTATGATTAAGGCAATGCAAGTTAAGACCTAAATATCCAAATCTTTTTACCCCTTTAGGTATTGGACCGGTTCTGGGACTTCTCTTCATCCCTCTGATTGGCTCAGCCAGTGATCACTGCAACAGCAGCTATGGCCGGCGGCGACCCTTCATATGGCTGCTGTCGTTGGGAGTTCTCCTTGCACTTTTCATCATACCACATGCTGATGTTTTGGCTGCCAACTTAAGCTGGGGCAGCACCCGTCGAAACCAGGCTCTCCAGGTGGGCCTGCTCATCCTTGGTGTGGGCCTTTTAGACTTCTGCGGACAGGTGTGCTTCACGCCATTGGAGGCATTGCTCTCGGACCTGTACCGTGAACGGGACGACTGCGGACAGGCTTTCGCCATGTTCTCCTTCATGGTTAGCCTTGGCGGTTGCGTGGGCTACTTGTTACCCGCCCTGGACTGGAGTGGAGGGCTTCTGTCCTTCTACTTGGGTGGTCAGGCTGAGTGTTTGTTCTCCCTCCTCATCCTCATCTTCGTCGTCAGTGTGTTCGTCACCATGAAAGTGTCAGAGGAACCTTCGTCCACTGTGGAACCGGGGCCACTGGAGGCTGGACGGTGTTTTTCACGCTCGTGCTGCTATGCGTTTCAGTGTAAGCTGCGGGCTCTAAAGTCCGGCCCACTCATGTGCCTGCTGAGGACCTGCTGGTCTATGACACCAGCCATTTATCGTAGCTACTGCCACGTGCCACGTGTCATGCGGCAGCTGTGTTTGGCACAGCTCTGCAGCTGGATGGGCGTCATGTCCTTCATGCTCTTCTACACTGATTTTGTGGGTGAGGGGCTGTACGAAGGAGTTCCCAGCGCTGCTCCAGGTACTGCTCTCAGGAAACGCTATGATGAAGGTAAGATTTTGTAAACGTAACATCTAAATTATTAATAATATTAGTATTTTGGGTATTGTATGTAGTTCATCTTTAAGGCTGGCGTTTCTTGCCATGTATCTGTATTTGTTTAAAATTGTTGCACACTTTTCTGCCTGCAAAAAAATCATCAGGTTTATTATTAACATGACAAATCATTCAGTTAATAATGTAAAAAATTTGCACGACAAATGCATGTGAACGTCTTAATTTTTCATATTCATGATTAAGCCATCAAGCTTCTGTTTTGTAAGAAACCACAAAGAGAACTTAAAGCTTTTCTTTTGTTAATAACAAAACATGACACAACATTAACTGCGAGCTGGGGTCCGTTCTTCCAATGTGTACTACACAATTAGCTGGATTTGGTTATTGACGATTTTACACAGTCCAGGATTGTTTCGTTCTTCATAACTCATCCAAGGATTATTGTCGTAGCAACAGTACTGGTAGCTTAAACCTGTTCAGGAGCAGGCTTAATTCATATTATCAGGATTAGATTGAGTTTTTTCAAACATAGGTAACAGCAAAAGTATGTACCAAGTGCTGATACTATCTTACAGTAGTAACCTATAGATTATATAGACTTGGGAAAATAGTAAAATAATAAAAAAAAAATATTCATACATTTGTAATAATTAATAACATTTAATATTGATAATATTTATGTTTCTATACATGTAAGTTTAAAAAAATATATAAATAAAAATTAATAAAAGTACAAAGGCTAATAATATAAGTTGCAGACACCTTTACTGATATCTGTACTGATTATCTACACGATATCTACACCTATACCAAATTGCTTTTAGGATGCTAAATTAATTTCAATTCCTTGCGCCGATTTAGAAACTTGAATAGGCCAAGAATACTAAAATAAAGAAAATCCGCTTTACAAATCTGAAACTAATTCAATTGTAAAGCATGCAGTCCACAACAAAGGTGAAAAGTTATTACGTATCATTTTTAAAAAACGTTTACTACGAATTTTATATAATTCTGCTTACATGGATAATTGAATATTAATGAGATGATGTAATTTCGCTGCTGTGCAGTCAGCCAATCATTGCAGTGCTGATCATGACTTGATAGATCTGCCCTTCATAACACACACAGTGATCTCAGATCAGTTCATCCAGAAATTCTTATTTGATTCGCGAACTTGTTTGATGAACTAAATTAGCCAGAGATTAGTTTAAAGACCAAGATTAAAAGGATCCAGGATCTGCCAAATCATCTTAGATCATTTAAGCGAAGTACGAAGAACAGACTGCTGTGGAATATTGTTTGTCTATAATCTTTAAATTGTACTAAAGCTTGATCGGTACCTTTAAATAGTAAGCATTTGTATCTAAAAAATCCATATTAATAAATGTCCTTTTTGATCCCCTTGGGCAGAACCACCTCGTTTTTGTGTTTTTATTTATTAAGTTTTATTTATTTATATTTTTTTAAACTTATGTATATAAACATAAACATGGATATATACACTTTTTCCCAAGTGTATATAATCTATAGGTTACTACACTAAGAAAATGTTAGCATTCGGTACATACTTTCAGAATTACCTTTGCTTGAAAAGACCTGATCTAATCCTGTTTATATGAAATAAACCTGCTCCCGGGCAGGTTTGAGCTAACAGAACTGTTGCTATTATAACAACTCTCAATCAAAACTCACAAGTTTTGATAAATGAAACGATCCTGGATTGTGTCAAATCCTCCAACCAAATGCAGCTAATTGAGCAATCCACGTTCAAAGAACAGACCCCTGGTCTGAGATCCTGAAAACAACAGATCATGAACTGTAAAATAGCACAGTGTTGCTCTTCAATGTGAAAGTATTTTACTTAAAGCACTTAAGCATTTACTTAAATAACTGTTATTAAATAACAGTCTTTGAGATTGGATAGTAGTACCAAGCTGTACTTTATAAGTATCTGTAATGACTAGGCCCAAACAGAATCTGTGCATGCAGAAATCCACAGAATCTTAGCTCATCGTTGACTCTATTTATCTACATGTGTAAATGTGTCAGTTTATATTTATTCTGTATTTTTTTATTTATTTCAGTAATATTATTGACAATTATGAACATGTACATATGATAACTGTACAATATAGTTTAAGTAATATGTTCTGTCTTTTAATATTATATAAGAGACTTGCTTTGTTTACCAAATAAGTGGATCTAATTGGATTTGCAATGTGAACATTAAATAAAAAATTAAAAAGGTATTATTTTTTTATTTCATATATTACATTTTTAGTAACAATAATCCTAAAATCATTCTGCATAAATCCGCAGATTTGTTTTTAATTCAACATTTACATTTATACATGGAAGATATTTTGAAATGATCTGTCCATACAAATGTCAGCTTATTGTTTAGTTATGCAACAGACATTGAATGTTGCTTTGAACACTCAGCATCCACAAATATTTGTTTTGTCATAATGTTGCATCTCAGGCAGTTTATGTAATGTTTGATTACCCTGCCCTAGAGATTAATGATTAATCGTTTATTACTCATGTCAGAACGTTCTCCTAGACTCGTGCGTCACACATTCCTCCTCTGAAGCGTTTCTGTTAATGGTTTGTTAACATTAAGGGACATTTTGTTGGTTAATGTTTGCACGTATTCTCAGTCGTCTGCAGGCTCTCATTAAAGAGCAGCAGTGTTTGTTTAACAGACCTCATTTCACTGTCTGTCTGTTGTCAGAACGTCCATGAACTGTTTTTTTTTTTTTTATTTGTGCTGGTGGTCTGTCATTTCCGTGTTTTGGCCAGACTGTTAGACTATAAACCTTAAACTTGTGTTAACCTTCACATGTGGCCTCCGTCAGGCTTGTATTTGAGCTTTCTGCAGTGCTTCTAAACACAAATGCACATTAAGAATGGGATTATGAAAATCTACACTTATTAAAGCTAGCATCTGGATCTTTGATAACAACAGAAAGCTCCTTTAACACAACATTTTGACAGATGTGGTTACATCAGTGTGTGAACAAATGAAGACTGAAGTTCAGTCGACCGCAAAGTGTGTCACTGCTCCATGTAACGAAAAACCTTTGAGATTCTTGTTCAGTGAACATCTCAGCCCGCTGTGGTCATTTAAATGATGAATTCCTTCTGTACGGAACGTTCTTGGGCCTGTTTGAAGTGCAGCGCCAAAGCCTGCGAACACATGCCTTAGTCAACATCACTTGCTGGATTTATTCAAAGGACACATTCATTCTCCATTATGCTCAATGGTCAAAGCAAACTGTTTGGATTGACCTCATCAGTCAAAACCACAAGGGCTAGGGATGGTTGTTTACCTGGACATGCAGTACTTAAAAGTAATGGTGCACTGGCATGCCTGGAATTTAAAGTAGAACAAATTACATGTAAGAAATAAGTCAAAGGATTAGTTCACATCCAGAATGAAAAAAAAACAGTAATAATTTAGTTTAGGTCACAATTCTACTGGCTTATTACCTGCCTATTATTAAGATATTAACTGTTCATTAGTTATAAAGTGTGATCTTATTCTGCATCTCTAATCTTACCCAAAGCCCAAACCCAACTTCTACCTTACTATTAAAACAGCTAATTTGTACTTTAAGCTAGCAGTGTTAGTTAATGGTTTGTTTATATTGTGAATTGTGACCTAAACTTAAGTATTACAATTTTTTTTTTTAAATTCACTCACCCCTTCACTAAATAATTAATTTCTTTCTTCAGTCATTCTTCCCCAGCACTGCTAGTGAGGAGACACCAAATACAGTAGTCAACAAATAAAGTGGATCATTACCGTTCATCAAAGTTGTCCTAAAACTATTGAATAATACCTATTCCTGTCTTGTGAAAAACATTTTTGATCCATTTCAATTGGTGACTACTGTTCATACACACTATCAACAATAATGGACATTTTGTTGCTGATGACATGAATGGTCTAAGTTTTTATTGATAACAAAAACTAAGAAAAAACGAAAACTAAAATTGTAAAATATTTTTTTTAACTGAAATAAAAATAAAAAAGTTTTTTGATAAAAAAAAAAAAAACTAGGACTAATTGAAACTGTTTTGTGTACATACAAAAAAATTATGGCAAACACGTCCTTCTTTTTAATTTTTGTAACTATCCCTCTAAGTTTACTGTGAGCTTGTACTGTTTCACTGAGCTTTTTTTAAAAATCACACTTCAGTCATATTTGTGTGTACACAATGTGATCATTTAAAGCAGTAATTACTGTGACAAGTCGATAGATTTACCAAATTTTCATGTGACATTTGAATATCATCACCCCTCCAGGTATCCGTATGGGCAGCCTGGGCCTGTTCCTGCAGTGTGCTACCTCTACCTTCTTCTCGCTGGTCATGAGCAGGCTGGTGCGTGTCTTTGGCTCCAGGACGGTCTATCTGAGCAGCATGATCTGCTTCACCATCTCTGCTCTGGTCATCTGCTTGTCCAAGAGTGTCCTGCTGGTCACGGCGATGTCGGGCCTCACTGGCTTCGCTTATGCAACCCTGCAGACACTGCCTTATACGCTCACTTGCCACTACCACAAAGAGAAAGAGGTAGGCATTTCATACTATTTCTGTTTTTACCATGATGCTTTGTGTTCATTTTGGGAGGAAATTGCTTTAAATTGTAAACAATCAGTGGTTTTACATGATCGAATACAATGAAATGATTCCTTAAAAAGTATGCATTAAATGGTAAAGCAAGCTGATTGCTGATGTTGACAAATTTTACTATACTAAACAACACAAAGAGAGAATAATCTGGAGAAACAAAACACAGTGAACCCAAGAGCATTGGTCACATGCTTTTAATCAGTGTGTAAATTATACACTGACGTTCAGGGGGGTCAACTTTTTCAGTAATGCTAGTTTGTGTAATACATCCTTCAGTCATTTATGTATTTATTCAAATTACATCCAACTTATTAATAAAACATTTACGTTTTGAGGGATATTTAGTGTATTCTGATCGACAGTATCCTCTAATTTGCTATATCAGACATTATTGTAGGTCAAACTATGCATCTAATTTGACTTGTGTTGATACAAACATCTCTTTTATGACAATAAAAACACTTAAGATGTGTATATTGGTGCTCTAGATCTGCCGGTTTCAGACTGTTGAATGATTTTTTTTTCTCACATAGACTGATTGACATGATCATGCATTCACAATAGCTATGTTTTCCTCCAAAAATGCTAATTAAATTTATGCTAAAACAGGAATATCGCATAAAAATGTGCAAATATAGCAACATTTCCATCCAACAAGTCAAAGAAAACAAAGTTGTAATTTCCTGATTATCTGGCGCCAAATATCAAAAGAAAAAACGGAATTTGCTGCGGTAGAAGCTGCGTGAATCTTTTCGTTATTTAATAAATGACTTGCACCTCAGAAGAAAGTATGCCGGCATGCAATGAATTCGTGGTGGCGTTTGAAGGCATCAGACACAGAGCACAGACACTCTTGACTATTCTGGAGGTAATTAATAATACAGTAACATTAATACTGAAATGATTGAAGCATTTTAGAATGATCAAAACAACATTGCAGATGTTTTACAATTTGCTTTGCATACGGGTTTGTCCATTTATACACATTTTTATCATCACATGATCTCTTATAATGAAATCACATGACTTTTTTGATGCGCAAACTGGAATTTGTTCGGTAAAAGTGTTTACATCGTAGTTTATGCACATCTTTTCTTATCGAATAAAATGATAATCCTACTCGGTTATGTACATGTTTTCAAAATTGCGCATAAAAACAGGTTGATGGAAATGTAGCTAATGGTATAAACTATTACACGGATGGTCAAATTTATATTTATATTACTTTATTAATATATTTTATTATATTATTATTTATATTATTTTAATGGGGGGGGGGGTCAAACCCCAATCCCCTCTGTAATTCGCACCTTGTAAAAATGTAAATGTAAAATACTAAAATAAAGCACAAATCTAAACTTCTCACTCACTTTTCACTGTGTACTGTACAGTATGTGGATTATTTGCAGCACAAATGTATTTTTAAGAGGGATTTGCTTTAATATTTTTGAATGAAAGTTCAATCTAGTAGATGTGCAGAAAAACCTGAATTCCTTCCAAAGTTACATCATATATGTGTTGTCTCTCATTGCAGGTGTACTTGGAAAACAGCAAAACCAAAAAAACACATACAAATGGATTTACCATCACAAGGGATTCTGTTTATATGTCATTAGACAACGGCTCTGAAGATGTCAACCACAAGAGTGGTATTTCCAATGGGCACGCTAATTACAATAGAGATAAACCAGAGTATTACCCCCCTCAGAATGATGCCCGCCTTGATCTGGAGTCTGAGGATTTCGAGAAACGTGGGGTCGGATTAGACTTCGCCATTCTGGACAGCACCTTTCTTCTCTCTCAGGTCTTCCCCACCCTCTTCATGGGCATGATAGTCCAGTTCACAGAGTCCGTCACCGCGTACATTGCCTCCTCTGCCATATTTGGTGCCATAGGCATCTATTTTGCTACCCACATCATCTTTGACCAAAAGGACCTTAGAAGCTGAAGAAGCAGTGATCATGTGAGTAATTTCACACTTGGCTCAGTACTAAATACCAAGTGAAATGTTACTGACTGATCTACAGATTCATAAAAAGGTCACATTGAACACTGATATTGTTTATAAAAATTGGAGAAAGCAATATAATTTGTAAGAAAATGTACTTTTTTCCCCATGCAAAAACTAATAATTTTGGTGGAATGCATTTCTATTGAGAGAGAATGCAAGTTTACTTTAGGAAATGCCTTATATGAGAATGCAGTGTAACTTTGAGAGAATGCAAGTATTAATGTGCAGACTTAAGGTTTTGTTTTAGCATAATGCAAATGTTCTGCAAGAAAAAACAATGATTTTGAGAATGCAACATTTTTTTTTTTAGAGAATACAAATGCTTTGCAAGAAAACAAAGTTACTCTGGGTAAGGTAATGCAATACTTTTGAAGGAATAAGGGGATCTATGTCCATTCTACTAAGATTTACCAACGTTTTTCTAATGTTTAGCCTTTCAATTAGTGTTAGTGGAGCCAAAAATTAAAATTATATTTATAATTCATCTCTCTCATGTTGTTCCAAACCCCTGAAACCTGTTCAAACACAAATGAAGATATCTTGGATGAAATCTGAGAGCTCCCTTATTCTCCATTAACTGCGATGGTCCTGATTTTTTCAAAGTACAGAGAAATACCAAAAGGCTTCGTTAAAACAAAACATTTGCCTTCAGTGGTTGAATCTGAATGTTATCAAACTATGAGAATTCTTTTGTGCAAGTTCGTCTATATGTCAGTATAAGGCGCACGTTCACAAGAGCGCAGTGCTTTTCATGCATCTACAATGTGCATGTTCATTTATTCATTTTCTTGTTGGCTTAGTCCCTCAGTGTAAACAATGTGCATGTGCTTTGTTTAAATCAGAGAAGATAATGTGTGGGAATATGGTTGGTATGCATTACATCAGTCCACAGTGTCTTGTCGTCGATCCCAGTTGTAAGAGCAACAAATAATAACTTGACTGCTAGTTGATCATTTGGAAAAGTGGCAGAAGGTAGATTTTTCTGATGAATCCTCTGTTGAACTGCATCCCAATCATCACAAATACTGCAGAAGACCTATTAGAACCAGCATGGACCCAAGATTCTCACAAAAAACAGTCAAGTTTGGTGAAGGAAAAATCATGGTTTGGGGTTACATTCAGTATGGTGGTGTGTGAGAGATCTGCAGAGTGGATGACAACATCAACAGCCTGAGGTATCAATACATTTGTGTTGATCATTACATTACAAACCACACAGGAGGGCAAATTCTTCAGCAGGATAGCGAGTCTTCTCAAACTTCAGGCTCCACATCAAACTTCCTGAAAGCAAATAAGGTCAAGGTGCTCCAGGATTGGCCAGCCTAGTCACCAGATATATGAATATTATTGAGCATGTCTGGGGTAGGATGAAGGGGGAGGCATTGAAGATGAATCCAAAGAATCTTGATGAACTCTGCGAGTCCTGCAAGAACGCTTTCTTTGCATCAGGTAGTGTATACTAACACAAAGAAGAAACTAGAATAAAGTTGTTACTTCTGTTTTATCTGTGCACAAAATTATTCTCATAACTTGATAATGTTCCGATCAAACCACTGAAGACACATGGAATGCTTTTTGGTACATTCCTGGACTTAGAATGAGTCAGGACCATTGTTCTCTATGGAGGATCAGAGCTGTTGGATTCCATCACAAATATGTTCACTTGTGTTAAAAAGATGAACGAAGGTCTTTGGGGGTTTGAAACAACACAAGGGTGGATAATTATTGACAATTTAAATTTTTGGGTGAACTATCCCTTTAATTCCCTGACTGTGTCTCTACTTTTCTCTTCATAGGTCATTTTTGGTTTGAGGATGAATTATGCTTTCTATCTCTATGGGACCAATGGTCACATCAATGGGACACATCAAACTATGTGATGTAACTCCTGTTGTGTTTAAAATACTTTTTTTTGTAAAGAACTATTTTATTGTATATAATTATATATATATTTTAATGATAATATATACATGTATTTATATCCCTATGGGAGTTTTTATGCAACCAGTTTTGGCGAGGTCTGTATTTATGTACTCTAACCTCGTTTGACTTGTTTGTCAAACAAAAGTGTCTTAATTTTCTTTTAAAAAGCTGAACTTTGTCAGTAATCAAAACTAATGACATGTATAAAATCTCAAAAAGACAATCTGGGATATTTTTCTACAAGTGACTTAATGCTTTACATAGACCTAAGATAGTGTTACAAACCATCATTAACATTATGAAAATGTCATTTTATATGGTGTTAATAAGTTACAGTATAGGTTACCTTCACAAAACTGTTTGTTTCATGTCCTATTTAAGTACTGCATCTGTAGGTACACCCGCTGTTGCTCAGAGTGTATGTGGAGCTTTTATTTTTTTAAGAGTCTTATGAGGCGTCACATTGAGTAAGATTCTCAGGATGGACGTTTTGTCCAGTTGAAATATTCATCAGTTCGATCACAGCACAACGAACTAATAAAAAGGTACTGATATTTTACCTGCTGATGTATGAGATTTTCTTTCATTTTATTTATTTAAAGGGCACCTATTTTACCTTATTTGCAAGATGTTAGATAAGCATTTGGTGTCTCCAGATTGTGTCAAACGTTTCAGCTCATAATACCAGTCAGATTATTTTTTATATAATCAAGAATCTGCACGTTTTAAGTGTCTGAAGATTATGTAGCTGCTTCCCCCTGCCCACCGTTCCCACGTGCGTGTCTGCATCTCATGTTACATCAGATAAACAGCAGTCAGTGATTGAGACAGACACGGAAGAAGCTCAGATAAGGTCATTAGTTAAAAATATTATGTACTTTATTTTATGTATTTGTGGTGGTGTTTATTTAAGCCTACAATAATGCTTTTAAAAACGTTTTGAACTTATAAAATGAAGTATTGAGGTGCAAATGATCACGGAGACTTGTAACATTTTAATCTCAGTTTCTTTGTAAAAAATTGTTCTGTGGACGTGTATACATGATATTATGAAGACATGGCACCTGTCAATCAATTCAGTTGGCGGGGAAAACGCACTCCAAGGCCACATTGCGGTGGGCCTCAAAATCACTGGGGTTTGGATCCTATTTTTAATGTCAGTAAATAAAAAAAGACTTCTGTCACTCCAGTATGAATACGGACACACTATATCTACACAAAGTTCTGTCCAAACAGCTTACAAAATTATTTTGATCATAGGTGCCCTTTAAAGTGATATCGACTGCATTATGTCTGTCGTTTTAACTTTCAGTCCTTGTCTTAAAAATGATCTGCATGGTCTTCATCAAAAGTGACATACATAATTTCATAAATTTCAATTTCTGACAGACAGTATACATTTTTTTCCAAGCTAATATTTTACTAAAGCATGTACATCCTGTTTTAACATTTCAGAAAATTTCTCCCTCCCTGTTTGGACTATTTCCATCAGAGTTGACATATCGACAATTAAATTATGCAAATAAACTTTCTTGATCACAATACTTTAGTTCCACATATAAAAGGCACCGGATAAACTACTTATTAGCACAGAAGCTACATTTTCCCCAAAATTTGTGGAATTTCCTGAATATAATTTTGTATTTGGTATATACAATTGAAATCAGAATTATTGAACCCCCTTTAGTTTTTTGTTTTGTATTTTTTAAATGATTAACAGAGCAAGGAAATATTTACAGTACTTCTGATAATATTTCTTTTCTTTGGAGAAAGTCTTACTTGTTTATTTTGTCTAGAATAAAAGCAGTTTTAAGCCATCTTAAACATCTATATCTATATCTATCTATCTATCTATCTATCTATATATATATATATATATATATATATATATATATATATATACACACACACACACACACACAACAGTTCTGTCTGGTTCTCAAATCTGATTGGCTGATAGCTGTGCGATATTCTGCAATATCAGAACTCCTACAACCTCTTTACCCTTTGTGTATTCCTCCGCCCACATACAGCCAACAAAAAGCAGACACTACAGATCTAAAGATCTAAAGTTTAACTGTCAGCTTATGATTTGAATCCGGAAGAAAGTAGATCCTCATACAAAAGGGTTTTTGAGACTCCCCATGTTTGATTTTGTTTTTATATACAAAATTATGCCATCAAACTGTTGTAAAAATGCAATATCACACGAGTAGCAGTGCGATACGGCTGTATATCGGCACTGGTGGGGGCACTAAGGCACTCGGCCTGCGGCCTCCCACCAGTGCCGATATACAGCCATATCGCACTGCTACGCGTGTGATATTGCTCATATATATATGTGCGTGTGCGTGTGTGTGTGTGTGTGTGTGTGTGTGTGTGTGTGTATATATATATATATATATATATAGAGAGAGAGAGAGAGTCTACAGAACAAACCATCGTTATACAATAACTTATCTAATTACCCTAACCTGCCTAGTTAAGCTAATTAATCTAGTTAAGCCTTTAAATGTCACTTTACGCAGTATAGAAGTGTCTTGAAAAATATCTAGTCAAATATTATTTACAGTCATCATGGCAAAGATCAAACTAATCAGCTATTAGAAATGAGTTATTAAAACTATTGTGTTTAGCAATGTGTTAAAAAATCCTCTCTCCGTTAAACAGAAATTGGGGAAAAATAAACAGAGAGGCTAATAAATCTGACTTCAACTGTATTTTCTCAACTAAACCCTTTCAACTTAAAAAAAAATGCTTTCAAACCAAAAGACATGAAGTGGTGAAATGTCAGGTTACAAAATGAATGTTTTAGTTGTTATGTGACAGCCTCACCCAAATGTCTTTTGTTCTTTAAACAGACTTATGAAGTGTTTTGACAACTAATGTTCTAAATATATAGGTCAGGATATTGCAAAGAAAAAAGGGTTCTTCTGGCATCCATAGGGATTATGTCTGACTCGGTTTTAATTAGGATTTATTCATTACTTTAGGCCAAGGCCCTGAATTCAGAGAAATAATTATCTGACTACATTCAGAGATGATTAAACATCTTTAAAACAACAAACATAAAGCAATAGGAATTAAGATAGAGTTTGGTCTAGGGGTCTATATTTGCCTTTTGACTTGTAAGTTCTTGACTGGAATGGTTCCATGAATATACTAGTAAAACTAGCACACCCAAATTTATGTTAAAGAAAAATATTAAATACAAATTTTAAAAAGAGGAAATATCAAGAGAAGCAAAAAGATAGAAAGATTTGGTTAAAATGTTATGGATTTTGTAGGCAATATTTGCTTGAAATTAATTATCTTTCAATTTCTAAATGTTTGGTGACTAAAATATTATTTTAATAAATATATGTTTATTGAATCTTTGCTGTTTAAATGCACAAAAATACGTTGCATACACTGAGAAATTGATAAAAATATTTATGGGGTGTACTCCATTATGCTGAGCACTGTACATCAATAGGCTAATAACAAGCAATGGCAAATTTGTATAGTAAATTATTGTATTGTCGCTGGGTTTTAACTTTCTCTAAGGATGTGAGACAGCGCCACCTGTTGGACGGTCTCTTTCATTTTGTGCACCTGCCAGGTACAAGACGTATTATTTATTGACTGATGGTTTTATAAAGAGCTTTTTAAGTATTCCCATTTAACAAAATGTTTTTTTTAATATAGATGAGAAAGAATATTTCTATTTTTTAAAATGTTGCCGATTGCTTTGGGGTTTTTTTTTTCAAACATTTTCATTAAAAATTATTTGGATCCACAAAATATGTTCTGTGGATTTACTGCAAGAGGTTATGAAGGGGACATATGCTTAACGAAAAATAACCGTGTTTTTATTGATAATTAAAGTGTAGTAACCGTGCTTTTCCCCCCATATTGTTTACATATTAGTTTTATTATGCTATGGTTTAACTATGGTTTAATCTTAGTTATCAATCGTGAAGTTTGTGTCCATCTAGCTACCTTATAGCTGGCTATCAAGTGCTTGGTCAATTAGGCAATTCGGCGATCAAAGGAGTTGCTCGCGCTCGGACGTGCATAACCTCCAACTATGCGTTTTACCCAGATGAATAAATCACGGGAGCATTTTCAAAATATAGCTTAGTGAAAGCTTCCTGAGCAAACAGCGCAGGAAGTGTTTTGCAAGACTGACGTGGCTCCGCAGTGACAACTGGCCTGTTTTTACACCTTCCTTCTAAATAAGGAAGCGGCCCGTCGGGCATATGACCGCCGGTCCAATTTGGGAGCTGCCTACGAAACCCACCAGGCTCCCTCGCGCTCCACTCACTCTGCCCGGGGCCGCGCGCCTGGACTCGCACACCGACTGGGTTCTGGCGATCAAGCTGACCCCCGGCGGCGGTGAGGTCAGCGTGATGTCATCCCGAAGGTGAGTGATGTCATGCCGAAGATCTCCCAGGCAAGGTGAGCTTGCGTTTTGGTGAGTGTGTGTGGTGCTCCCCATCCAGAGAGGTGAAACATGGTAATCATCATCGTCGCCGCCACCAGCTCGAGCTCTGCCGCCCTGCTCTTCTCATCTACCGAGGGGCTTATTGCATTACATGCCCGCAGCCCCGACCTGCCTTCCAAAAATAAGCCCCTGCCACCATGCCGAAAGAAGAAAAACAAGAGTGGTATTTTTAGGGGCATTAATTTTGACCACGTGCCCCGAGGGTAAACCGGATGGCCACTGCGCAAAGGTTCCTCACCAGTATGTGCGAGAGCAGCGGGCGCTGGACGTGGACTGCGGTTGTTCTGCTGGGCTTTCTGATTGGGATCGTGTCCTCCTACCCCACCTCGGACAGGACTAATGCAACTTCACTGGAGAAAAGGTGGGAGAAGCTCTTCTCCCGCTCCGTTTTGGGGATCTCGGTGGAGAAATCGGACCTGAACTGGGAGAGTGACTATTTGCTGGGCATTAAGAGAGTGCGGAGGCTGTACTGCAACGTGGGCATCGGATTTCACCTGCAGGTCCTGCCAGACGGAAGGATAAACGGAGTCCATAATGAGAACCAGTACAGTGAGTTGCATCCAGAAATCTAATGCATGACCACTCGTTGTACCAGGGATGGAAACGACCGAATGAAAAGCTCAATAATTATTGGATTTTTTTAAATTAAATGCGTGAAGGAAAAAATAATAATTCGTTTTTATATTAATTTTTTTTATTATAATCAACAATGAATCAATATGATCAATTATAAACCAATGAATTTATTATTGCTATTATTTTATCCCATGTGTCCTAAAGCAATGGCATATCTATTAAAATAAACCCCAGTGTCAATCACTGCCGAATTTCCTGAGCCTCAAACATGACACGAATGCTTGGACGAATTTAGACGCCAACTAATTTTACACTGCGTCCACCTGCTTGTTGTACATGCCAGAACTGCAGGGCTTTTCTTTTTTTCCAAGAAATGAGCCAGCATTGGAGAAAAATGCAGAACAAAGGCAGTGCGTCCCGTGGATCCACCCACTCGTGTAGAATGAGTGAATGAGCTGCCGTGTGCCACACTGTCATGTATGTAACACTGATGTTCTGTTCAATCAGGTCTAATTGAAATCTCAGCGGTAGAGAGAGGAGTGGTTAGTCTATACGGCGTGAAAAGCGGGCTGTTTGTCGCAATGAGCAGCCGCGGGAGGTTATACGGAACGGTAGGTATGCCTGTTGTTTGATTTACTTTCGCCGGTTTTGCGGTGTTAAATGGGTCAATGACAAGTGAGGATTCGTATGGTGTGGGGTGACAAAAATGCTAAGCAGGTTTGGTGCCACTTATTTGAGGTTTCAAATTGTGTACCCATTAAAGGGATAGTTCACCCAGAAATTAAACCATAGTGGTTCCAAACCTTTCTCTTTCCTCTGTTGAACATCAAAGACGACATTTTACAATAAAGTACGATTCACATTTTGTCCATTTGGCTTAAACATTAGGCTAATTAGTTCCCTTTTACGCTGATTATATAGCTATGTATACAGTATCTTATTCCTACACACAACACGGACATTTTTCATACTTAAGTTCACCAGAGTCAAAAGTCAAAACAACACTGGCCATTTTTGTCTCACAAAGCATTGGGCTGAATAGTTCTTATTGTAAAACAGTGCTGATCTAGGCCAGTTGGCACAGATATAGATTACTTTTTTACTAATGCTGGCCCTAGAAGAAAAGATTAACATGTACATGACGTAAAACTGGTGATAGTCTGTAAATATTAAAGCATGCACAATGACAATCACTAAAGGGTAAAATGTCTCAGATCTGCCATTTAAACCTACACAAATAATATTTAATTAATACATGATAAGTTATTAAATTAGTTATTTAAGCTATGTACACTACTTATTTAAAATAAGCCAAAACACAATGCTTGTTTTATGTTCGATCCAAGTTAACAAATTTAATTGTGTTGGGACAAAAGGAATGAGTTGTGTGGAACCCTGCATTTTTTACATGTACCTGGCCAACAATGTAGTGTGGGAAGAAAAATTCTCATACAGCATCCAATTCTAAACCAACGATAACTATAACATTCCAAAACATGCTAATGTGGAAGAATGAATATAACTTTTTCCCATGTATTTTTTTTTATCATGTAGAACGTGAAATGTAAAGAATTTTAATGTATTTTTGAACAATTTGAACTTTCACATGTCATTGACCCAAATGTATATGTTTCCCTTGCAAAAGTTAACCATGGTTGTATAATAGTAAAAGTGTAAAAACCTTACTGATTACCATTTAATATAAATACCATGTTTAAACTGGTGCGACAAAAAGGTTAATCTCTGGTTTAGGGCTGCAATATATCCATGCCAGTTTCAGCATCAATATCGCAATGTGCACATTCACAATAGTCACATCACAAAGATATGCAATGTCCAGTCTGAATTAGTCAGACTGGACATTGCATATAGTCTGAATTATAAAGTTGACTAGGAGCCACAGATTTGTATTTAATCACTGTATTTATATGGATTTTATATGATTTATGCTAAAACATTTCTTACTTGCAATTTTTTAGTTGTGTTTCTAGTCCAAATATCTACTTTTGAAAAAGAAACCAAGAATATTACACTTACTGGCAGATAATTTCCCTAAAAACAAGCAAAAAAAAAAAAAACTCTTAATTTTCACTTAATTCTTCTGACGGTGAAAAATGAACCAATATTTTTATTTGGTCTATGTTTTTTTCATATTTGGATTAGAAACAAGAGAAAGTTAGAAATCATTTTATATGCATTGTGATTATTCAATTTCTCTACCTGAATACTGTTATACTCCACAGAAAACCTTCTGAAACTGTATTCATATCGCAATATTCATCACAGGCAAATAAAATATCGCTATATATGATTTTTTTTCCAATATAGTGCAGCCCTACTCTTGTTAATTACCATGGCTTGATACAAACACACACACACACAAAAACCTTGGTTAGTTTTCATAAGGGTTTTTCATTTTTACGATGTTTAAAAGTGCACCCAAATATGAGCACGGGTTAAATTACTTGCTTTGGATATTTATCGACTCCTCTGCTGTAGTTGATGATAGGCTAAACCCATTGCATTGTCATTCATTTTTAATAACTGTTGGCTCATGAGAGCAGGGGAGAGGATGGGGATGTTGTGCATGGCTGGATGTAAATCTGACCTACTTTACACTTGCATTACTTAGATGCCAAATCTCACCAGGAGTGACACATTATCTCGACTGGTGACATAGCTAGCTAAAGTGCTTCTCAGGCTTGTCACTTTAGGATATTGTTGAAAAATCAAGGGATTTATTTAGTTCGATTATTTCTTTAAAGAAATAGAAGGTGGTAAAAATGGAAATGCTTGATTATTTAAATCTACTGTAAAATTGCAGCATTGAATTAAAAGTGAAGTATCAAATGTTCTTGTACACATTCTCTAATGATCTTTGTAATAAAAAACCGTATAGCTAAACAACACCTTATTTGAAATGTATTCAATATATTTTACTTTTATACATAAATGTTCTGTCTAATCAAAATGTTTCATTAGATTTAGCTCACTATTTTCAGACAACACTTTGTTTAGCATTCATTAACAGCTCCATGTTTATGCGAGAGCAATAAATCTAGTCTATTGATAAAATCTGTTAATTAAAGTCCTCTAAAAGATTTATGCTGTTGGCACAGTCAGAGATCAGTTAAGCAGACAAAGTCATTTTTATGCAATAGAAAAGAGAGATAAAAGTGATGGACTGATAAGCTTTGCTTTTGTGATGTTCAGCTGAAAGTATAAGCCTTTAAAACAAGTCTAACCTTGAATCCAAGTGTACAGTATGCCATGCATTAACTATTTGTTTAAAAAAATTAATTCACACTAAGATGTTTCGAATTCTACACTTTAAAAAATAAAAGTTTTTTATTAGCCTTGATGGTTCCATGAACTTTTAAAGTTGCCATTAAAGTTTTTTTTTTAACAGTGGAAAATGATTCTTCATTCAATAAATAAATGAAATTGTTCACTGAAAGTTTTTTTTGTAATAAAATTAATGTTAATTTTAGAACGTTTAATTGTAAGGAAACTAATGGGCTATATGCACAGCCTGTGTTTTATTTATTTTTTTGCCAATGATGACCTTCAGCTGAAAGCTTAATGTGAGTGTTTTCAATTTCCTAAGGTTTCTTTTACAGCACCGATGTTGTAATGTCATTAAAATACATTCTATTAATTAGATTTAAGGATTCGTTTTATCATTCAAGTGTAAAACAAAATGAAAGATTTGTACAGTGTTTTTCTTATAACAGGCTAAAAACCAACCTTAATTGAGGGCTGTGGCCCAAATATGTTGCCCACTGGTCCTACTGCACCCAACCCGGTCTGAGCTGGGATCAAACTGGCGATTTTTAAATTTATTTATTTTTTGTTTGGGAGTCAGTTGCTCTAACAAGGAGGCTAAAGACCTGTCTGTTGCTAGAACATTTTTGATGTCAGACAAGTGAGGTTCACCTGCATCGCACTTCTTTAGCTGGCCTTCGTTACACTCAACCCCCTAAACCTACTCCCATCCCGGACAAGCCCCGAAGTGTAACCCACTGCTCCTACTGTACCCAACCTGGTCTGAGTTAAAATCGAACGGGCAATTCTTTGTATGGGAGTCGGTTGCTCTAACAGGGAGGCTAAAGACCATGGCTTCTAGCCAGGTTTACCTCTAGTGAAGTTTACCTGCATAGCACTTTACTATCTGGCCTCCAATATTTATATATATATATATATATATATATATATATATATATATATATATATATATATACACACATACACACACACACACACACACACACACACACACACACACACACACACACAAAAAAAACATATTACATTAAAATTTGCCATGAGCAATTTCCTAATTTATTTGCCAATATTTAAAATAACTACAAAATGTAGAAAACTAGAAAAACAAACGATCCCATTTATAAGAAAATGGAGTTTAATGCTGAATACACTAGTCGAGCTGCTCCTGGCTTTGACTTAATTTGCTCACCAATGTCATTGTACCCTGTCAAGTGACAGTATTTACATTTTTAAAGTCTGATTCATTTACATCATTTATGTGAAACATTTAATTTCAGTTTGTTTTTTTGTAACTCAGCAATAAAACATGACGATTTTATAATAGAAAGCCAGTTTTCTGGAAGCGCTAAGGCTGGCTGAAAATTAAAGTCCATGTACCTATACGCCATTGCCAAGGTTATTTATAGGGGTGCTCTGAGAGTTTTCCTGTATTTTACCCTAGCTGTACACTAAAAAATCTTGCTGTTTTAAAATTTTGAGTTAAACCAAATCAACTTTTCTAGTAATCTAAACTTACATCAATCAAACTGCTTAAACAAAGTTTAAAAAATGAGTTGAAACCTGATAAACTGATAAACCGAGTTATAAAATGCAACATAAAACATTTGCTGTCATTAATGCTTTTTCTTATTTTTTACAGTGTAAGAAAATACATGTTTAAGGGGCTTAGAATGATAATGGGAGGAGTTGTACCAAACTAACTGTTTTATTCATGCCATTTTTAGAGGGCCTTCCGTGACGAGTGCAAGTTCAAGGAGACACTGCTGCCCAACAATTACAACGCATACGAGTCTTCCATTTACAAGGGCTTTTACATGGCCCTCAGCAAACATGGCCGCTTGAAGCGAGGCTACAAGGCTTCCCCAGCAATGACTGTCACACATTTCCTCCCACGTTTATGAGTGAAACTGGCAATAACACAATAATTTGCACATGTTGGATGTTCTCGTAGGTAACCCAAACATGCTAAGAGGTGAACTGCAAAGAACTAAAAGAACACTCACGTATTTATTCTCGGTGAAATAGTAATAATAATAATATATGTATATTTCGGTAGCTTACTTTGTGTCTGAACTTTGTGTACATGCCATTCTTTGCTGCTTATGATTTCTATTGTGAATAAGTCGAGGAGCTTTTTATGCCTTCTCACTTTTTATGGGTGCTTGCCATAACTGGTGTAAACCTTACCCGGCATTGGACTAACATCCTCAGCTTTTAGAAGTGAAACGGAAACTTTTTATTACCTCAAAGAGCCACGTCCGCATTGAAGAAGTTATGGAGGGAAAAATAAATATCAGTTTACTCTGATCTTCATCTGTTCCACCATTTTACAAAGGACATGAAAGCACTTATTTTTCTGGAGTTTTCATTATTAGGTGGTGCCTTAGCCTCTACTAGTTTGCCTCCTTTTGTGCATGCAGGAAAGAGGTTTCTGTTCCATATTTAGATCAATATATAGTTGACATTAAACGTTGACTGCATGCAATTTTATGGAGAGTAAAACTCTACAATCACTTTGTGATTGAAACTCTGTGGACGGCTAGGTTTGGGTGCTTCCATTTTGAATGAAAACTGCAATTGAATGTGTTAATCTTGAATTATGTGGTACGATTATATGATAGTGTAGCTGTTGCTTATTAATTAAACAGTGTGTAATTCAACGTTTATCATAGATATTTATTGACACCACTCACGTTTTACCTCTACAGTCCAAGATCTCCTCAGTAACAAACATGTCAACTGCATACTTGAATGCCACCTCAAAAAGTTTGTGGAATGTACTTAATATCAATACAACCGTCTTAATCTGTTCAAGATAACATCATTTGCCGGTTATGTTAGGTTTGGATAGGAGGCCTAGCTATTCCAATCTGACCTCACGGGGAAACATAACTATGTTATGTTTTATCAATTTAGTGGCTAATCCATATGAATATGTAAGATTTTAAAAAGGAGGCGTGGCACCAAACTCCACCCCTAAACCCAACAGTCATTGGGGGATAAGCAAATCGTACAAATTTTTTACGAATGGTATTATACAAATTAGCCACTAAATCAAAAAGTTACGAATTGCCATGATACGTGTTGGCTATTCACACCTCTGCACAACCTGTTGATGTACTCCAGTTAATCAGTCGTTAGTCGCACTTGAAATGGAATTAAGCTTCGGTATTTGTAGGCATTCCCTTTCTACAGCTTACGACTTCCCCCTCTTTAAATTCAAGCAATATTTAGTTGAACGAAGGCTTTATTTTTTAAACATTTTCCATTTTCATGTCACTAGCAGTTGTAGCTCAGAATACAATCATCAAGATCTGTTTAATTTATCTGCTGTAACTTTTGCAAAACACAAGTTAAAATGTGTTGGATTTGTGTAAGAGAGAATAAAAGGGTTGGTAGAGAGAGGTAGTGTGTGTTTGTTAAATGGGTTTTCTTGAATTGAAGCTTGTACTTGACATTTTGAGAGATCCCGATGTTACAAAAGAGGATGTTATTTTTATAACAGTTATGGCTGTAATGTTTGAGCTGGGATGCTCATGAAGTGTGTGTGACTTTCTTTAAAGGTACAGTTCGCCTAAAAAAGAAAGGTCACTCGCCTTAATGTCATTTTAAACCTGTGTGATCTTTCTTTAACTCAAGATACTAAACATAAGTTGCTAAAAATATATTTGTCTGTATAATAAAAGTTAATGTGATCCAAAACAACATCTCACGGAATGGACAAGAACTCAATTTCCCTCTCAAAACTTAAATCACACAGTTTTTAGAATGACTTGAAGGCAATTAAATAATGATTTTTGTAAAGAACTGTCTACAAAGTCAAAGTGAAACAATATAGCGATGGTCTTTTTTTTATGTTTTGGGAATAAAACGATTTTAAGCTGTGTTCAAATATGAACTATATATTACTATTGACAACTATGGATTTAAACTTCTTTGTACCCCAAATATGGCATGCAATGTGATTGCTTCAACGAAACTGTCAAAATGACTGTTTTTTTTAACGTATGTAATGACTGATTTTAATTTATTGATGTTTCTCCACTGTACTCTTTTACATTTCAGATCTCTTTCTGCTTTAGTTAAATTTTGCATGGTTTTAATGCAAAATATTAGACAGAAATTTTGCATGGTTTTAATGCAAAATATCAGAAATGTTGCATCTAGAAGTTAAGCCTTCGAAACTAAGTGCTTATTCAGAAACAGCTATTTCTCATGTAACTTTTACCGGTTTCATTGTACTGTACTTTGTCTCCAGCTTTAAAATGAACCCATTTGCGGCTAGTGAGATGATTGTAAAGAATGGTGCATGTGTGCGTGTGTGTGTTTGTCCTTGTATGTATGCAGCCTTTGTGTTTTCTCAGTTTTGTATTCCTGCACTGAGGGGCAAACGCCCCGTCCAAATTCCCCTCCTATTTTCTTACATATACCTCACCTTCTGCCTTAGTTCCAATTTGTTGAAATGATTGTACGATTTGTTGTATACAACAAACTTTTTGGCAATCATTTTGTTCTCTGAAAAAAAAGTGAAAAAAATAAGAATTCTAATATATTAAGAAAATGTTTCCTTTTATTTTTATACGTATGTGCTGTGCACAACAGCCAACTGTATTACTGAAATGAAAATAAAAGGTTGTTTTTTAGCCTTTGTGTTGAGTTTTTTTTTAAAAGCTGCATTCCAAACTACATGATACAATTTCATTCATTCATTTTCCTTCAGCTAAGTTTCTTATTTATAAAGTGCCACCACAGCAGAATGAACCACCAACTATTTCATTCATTCATTTTCTTTTTAGCTTAGTCTTTTTATTACTCTGGGGTAGCCACAGCGGAAGGAACCGCCAATTTATCCAGCATATATTTTACAAAGCGGATGCCATTCCAGCTCCAACCTATCACTGGATAACACCCATACACTCTCACATTCACAAACGCACTCATACACTATGGCCAATTTAGTTTATCCAATTGACTTATAGCGCATGTCTTTGGACTGTGGGGAAACCGGAGCACCCATGCCAACTGGCCCAGCCAGGAACCAGCAACCTTCTTTCTGTGAGGTGAGGGTGCTAACCACTGAGCAACCTGCCACCCTTGTTACAATTCTAAATGTCAGAATTAATATGCAGCGCTGAATTTATCTGTCTCTCCACTCCACCTATAGCTAGTGATGGCTGACGTGAAACTGATGTTTCGACAGTATCGAGATCTCGAAGCTCAAGTGTTTTAAAACACTGCACCGAACCATGATTCGAAACACCCAGGTCACGTGACTAAGGTGATTAAAAACATTGGCCATTTCAGAAGCATTTCAAGACCTGATGAATCTGCGCTTCACTGACAGGGTCAAAAAAACTATCGTTTGTGGCTTAGTGGACTGTGCATGTGACAGCGTAATTGCGTAATAATTCGAATTCCGACTTACAAACACTCTGATATTATGACGATTTATTTTATTAGTTTAACTTTTTATGACCAAAACAAGACATTCATTCACAAAGTGTTTAGTTGGAGCTCAAACCAATGTTAAAGCAATGTAACTGTTAAATGTTAAAGCAATGTTCTGTTATGTAACTTTGCAGCACGGGATGCGCATCATTCATTGATGTACATTCGAATCATTCATGATTTTAAAAGTAGAAAAGAGATCACATGCTGTCGTGTGTGTGCGCTCAACCTTAGAGATGAGCAGAGCACAGCACACATCTAAAATCATCTTAATGTGAGCGCTTTAATGGTCAAATACATGCAAATGTGTCAAAACGTTGTGCTTATTGATTTTTCATATTAATCCTCATTTGTGTCATAAAAAAAATCAATTGAGAATCAAAAGACATCTGAAAGAGAAACTATAAATCAGAACCGCACTGCTCTTAAAGTGACAGCGTGCAATAATTGTGCTGAAGACCGTCTTTATCATTAATCAACCAACAAAAGGTGAAAATCACACACTGCTCTTGACTTAAAGACTTTTGTATCTATAATTAAAGTTTTTTCCTCACAGTGAAGATGCTTAAAGCACAGTTTATTTATTATTTTTATTTTATTGTATTTATTTCCCTTTCCTTATTTACAGGAAGGAAAATAACTATACAGTTGAAATCAGAATTATTAGCACTCCTGAATTATGAGCCTCCCGTTTCCCCAGATTTCTGTGCAATGTACATTTTTAAACATAATAGATTTAATAACTCATTTCTAATCACTGATTTATTTTATCTTTGCTATGATGAAAGTAAATAATATTTTACTAGATATTGTTCAGGATAGTATTCAGATAAAAGTGCAATTCACAGGCTTAATCGGGGTAATTAGGCAAGTCATTGTATAACAGTAGTTTCTTCTGTAGACAATAAAAAAATATAAATATATTGTTTAAGAGGGCTAATAATATTGACCTTAAAATAGGTTTCAAAATATTTAAACCTGCTTTTATTTTAGCCCAAATAAAACAAACAAGAAATACTGCGAAAAATTCCTGAATCTGTTGAACATCATTTGGGAAATATTTATTAAAATAAATTCACAGGAGGGGGAATAATGTTGACTTCAACTGATAATCGTTTTGAATAATGAATAATAATACAATTATGACCAAAATAAACGTGATTATGATTTTTCCATAATCAAGCAGCCCTACTACAACCCACCCTGGCGAAAGCCTGCTCATGCTCATGCCCTCAGGAAGGCATTTCAGAAGCATGAGGAGCAAATCAGTGCGGTTTCATGATAGTTTTTATCGTCATTATAAGACTTTTGAATAATACCATTTCTTAAACACTATTGATATCTAGTGAGAAATAATAAATCCATAAATAGTTAAACTAGCATAATTTGTTATTACAACTATTATAACAAATGGTGAAATGGTTATTTAAGAATTAAGTTGTTCTCTTCAGAGATTTTTTAAATTGGGTTTTATTTTATATAACTATATTTTTATATATTTATGAAACTATAAAAGCTTATTTATTATGTTAGGATTTTATAGTGTTAGTATAGGGATGCTTTTTTATGTTCTTGTTGGGTCTGATGCACCATAATTTCATTCTGTATTGCAATTTTATTGTGATGTTTTGGATGGCAAAAATAAAGGAAACTGAAACTAAACTGAAACTGTATATTAGGCAAGGATAATATATTGCGATCATGATTTTCGAAAGTATTATATCATTTTTGTAAGTGTTTATTAGAACTATTTGTTGAGTCTCTCCATACAGTTTGTTAGAGCTCCACACTTGACCCCACACTTGACAAGCAGATGGATTGTGTCTGTATTAGTTAGGTTAGAGCCTCATCTTGTGGTCAAAATCCTTAAGATTCTAATTTAAAACTTAATTTTGATGTGAAATGATCATTTTCTTTCACATGCATGTTTATCCACGGAATTATATTTTGATGTTAATCAGCCCTTACGAAAATCCTGTGCCCTTTTACTAACAGAAATTCCTTAATTGTTGAAGATCTTTATTAATTTTATAAGAGAGATTTTGGTCTCTCATTTAAAGTCTTCTGAAAAGATCACATTATAATGAGAAACATTCAATTTAGGTGTACAGTTGAAATCAGAATGATTAACCCCCCTTTGAATATTTTTTTCTTCTTTTTTTAAATATTTCTCAAATGCTGTTAAACAGAGCAAGGAAATTTTCTCAGTACGTCTGGCAATATTTTTTCTTTTGGAGAAAATCTTATTTGTTTTATTTTGGCCATAATAAAAGCAGTTTTTAATTTTTTAAAAATCATTTTAAGGTCAAAATTATTTGCCTCTTTAAGCTATATATATATTTTTTTCGATAGTCTACCGAACAAACCATTGGTATAAAATAACTTGCCTAACTACCCTAAGCTGCCTAGTTAACCTAAATAACCTAGTTACGCTTTTAAATGTCACTTTAAGCTGTAAGCTTTGAGAGGTGTCTTGAAAAATATCTAGTAAAATATTATTTACTGTCATCATGACAAAGATAAAATTATTCATTTATTAGAAATGAGGTAATAAAACTACTAAGTTTATAATTTTTTGGAAAAAAATCTTCTCTCCGTTAAACAGAAACAAAAATAATTCAGGGGGGCTAATAATTCTGACTTCAACTGTATATTATAAACATGATCAACACAAATCTGCTGGTTGGGGGCCAGTAGGTAATTAACCTACTTGCCTCATTTAAGTTGTTTACAGCCCTGCACAGAAAAACTGAATGGTTACAAGTTGTATCCGATCAACAGTAAAGTTCTTGGTCCGCAAACATGACCTTTGAACCAACTTCCCCTCAGTTATATAAAGAGTAGTGAAATGCCTCGCTGTTTGCTGAGCACCTGCTTGATCCGGTCTGATCATGAACACCATTCATCTTTTCTGTCTGATTGCTCTGAGCATCTGCAAACTAATAACCTGTCATCCTATACAAAAGGAAATGGTCCAATCTGATTTAACAAGAGAAAATGTGGAAGACAAGATCAGCAGCTATGGATTATTTATGATGACTAAATTAATTAATGGTATAGGAAATGCCATTTATCGAGAGTCAAATGGTAAGTTGTGATTTTTCTCACATATTTTTAAAGTGTCTTTTATGGTAATTATTTACAATAGAGTTTCCACTGCTAACATGAAAATTGAAAAACATTATTAATCATTAATCCCAATTATTTATTTTAACATTTCCTAAAGTCATGAAAAAAACTAGAGTTTGGACCTTATAATAATATGTTATCATTTTAATGATAAAACTGATGCTTTTTATTTTATAAAGGAGCTGTTTTACTAAAGAAAAGAAACAAAGACTGCTTCTCACTACTTGATATTAAAAGACATATTATAATGTGCTTGGATACAACCAAGAAGCCATATATTTTTGTAAGTATGGACCTGTTTTTACTGTTTTACAAGCATTGTTATAATTACCTAATTTTTCTTTTTCAACAAATTTCTAATTTATTGTAATTGACAAATCAGGGTTCTTTAAACAAATATTAATATCAAAACCATTTTTATGTCAGTATATTGGTAATGGTTTTAAGAATTAATGTAAAGACATACTAAAAATATATATTAAAAAATATTCCTTGGATTTACTATATTTTAAAGTGTTTACAATTACAAGTGTTCAAACTATTTATTTAAGCTGAATTTAAACAAACAACTTAAGTTGGACATTACTAAATTTAATTTGTTTGTTTAAATTCAACCCATATAAATTGTTTGCAACAATTTTGCAGAATGCATTTTTTTCAGTGTATCTGAAATTATGATTCAACCGTTTTTATTTAAAATTTGAAGAACTGTCAAACAACTTTCAGAATGAAACAAATTACTTTTAAAAACTTTTTTCCCCTCTTAAAAAAGTTGCTAAAAATAATTTAAGAAATAAAAACAAATTACTTGTACTTGCAACGCTCAAAGATGGCATTTGTTAGTTCAAACTATGTATTTAAAATGAGCTGAAACAACACAATTCTTGAGTTGTTTTTGGGACAGCTTGATTGTTGTATGTTCAATCTACTTACATTTGTAAAAACTAATATGCTAATCTAATTATTTCATGTTGCCCCAAGAGAAATTGATTGTGTGGAACCCAATACTTTTAACAGTGAATTTAAAATTAAAAATGTGTGGTCTGTTTTTTTTAAATAAACCCATATGAACACTTATTCAGTACAAATGCATTAAATATAGTAGAACTTACGGTCCCACTTTATGTTAAGTGTCCTTAACTACTATGTACTTACATCAAAAAATAAATACTTTTGAGTTGGGATAGAGGTTGGGTTATGGACAGGTTTGGTGGTATGGGTAGGTTAAGGTGTAAGGGATGGTCAACAGTGTATTTACAAATGTAACTACAAAAGTTAATTACAGATATAATTACATACATGTATTTAATCAAGCATAAGTACACAGTAAATACATGTATTTACCCAATAAGTACATTGCAACAAACTATTAATTCCTGTATAAGTACATATTAGTTAAGGCCACTTAATATAAAGTGGGACCGAACTTACCATAAAGATATGTTTCAAATAAACAATTCTGTTCCAACAATCCTAAACAAATAGTACATTTTAATGTGTGTTATTATCCTCAGGTTGACAACACCAAGGACTGCTTTAAAACAATTCAAAGAAAGATTTCCCGACATGCTTTGTGTTCATGGAGGAATGATGCAAAAACCAAAGAATTACCACCTCCTCCTCTGCATTTAAACAACCATAATTCTCATCTCAGGCTTAGAAGAAGCCAGCATTTTGACCCGACTGATCCTTTGGGATTCGAGAATCCAAAGTCAAGGACCACGAATTATCAAAGACAGAATAAAGAGCACGAGCGTGAGCGCACCAGTAATGTTTCTAGAGAGACCATCACTTCCTGCGATGACCCTTTACATGTACTGCTCTCCAAGAGCCCAGTCAGTCCAAACTTACAAAAAGAGAAGAAATACAAGCAAGTCGCACCGATTGATCCATTCTGAACAAATTCCTGAGCTCTTAAAAAGTTCTTAAACTTAAGGAAACACATCTACTTGGGAAGCTTTCACTTTTTGGAGGATATGTAAAAGCATACACTGATAGTGCAATGTCAAGAAACCAAATGGTTCCAAGAAATTATTGCATATATATGGCACAATCCAGGGGATGTATTAAAAAAAGATCCTAACTTTAAAATCGTAGCATATTAGTTTGGTAACCTGGTAATTCAGTCACCTAATGACCAAACATACTAAAAAAATCCTAAAAAACTCCCCTAACTTTAAAATTATTTGAAAGCAAATGGAGAAAAAAACACAATTGCACCGTCCAAAAATGGCATTCAATTTATAAAATATTACATATGAAGAATGGAGACATTTAATGATGATAGATGCTTAGAGTACACTGAAGATGCATTAAATTTCCATGGCAAAACACTTACGGTAATTACAGATGCCATATTATACTGCAGTTAGCACAGGACCTGCGACCAACATTACAAGTTATAGTGCAAGTGACTTATTTTTTTGTATATCCGTTTTAGTTTTGGCTAACTCATTAGCAGCTCCTGCAGTTTTGGTTGCTTGCTAAAAGAGATGTGAGTGGATTGTCGAATTTGATGGCAAAATTTCTAACTATATATATGATTTTGTAAGAAATGCCAAATCAATATTTGCTTCTGTGAAACAAATTTATAAAAATAAGAAACTTGCTTTTTCAGCTCAGTAGGTTTAGGTCACTGCTTGTCAGTCCTTTCACCTTGTTAAGTCAGTTAAAATTTAAACTACCTTGCAATGCTGTGGCAATATATCGCAGCTTTCATAAGAACCGTGCGAGTGTCTTTTCCTGATTAACTGATGTAGGTCACGTAATACTCAGAATTATGCAGTCTTTGTTTGCAACTTATGTAATCAGTTCATATCATTTCAGTGTTGCAAGTACAGACCACCTATTATATTTTCAACACACCTATGGAAAAATTAACCACTTGGAAATTCTATTTTCTAAATTCCTTTCTCTGAATCTACTGGATTTATTTAGAATGTTTTTTTATTTATTTTTTATTCTATAAATATCTGATAACATTTCTTCACAACATATATATAAAACATTGTATTTAGACTGTTTTAAATGTTTATTTTCCCCAGAAAATTACAATTATTTAGAATAACATTAATAACGATTATTTATCATTTTATTGAGAAATCAGGGTTACTCAACAAAATATTGATTTAACCTTTCTGGAGTTTATAACATTCATTTTGTGTCATTTCAAAAATTAATATAATCTGATTTTATTATATATATATATATATATATATATATATATATATATATATATATATATATATATATATATACACAAGCTTTTTAATTTAGAGGAAAAGTCAACAATGTTTTACAGAAAGTTTTAGTAAAAACCCCTTAAAGGTAAATCCAGAGAAACAGCGTATGACATGGTGCTGGCCACCTATGCTAATTATTTATTTTTTAAGTTTTGAAACATTTTTATTTATTATATTTAATGCTGTCTTAAAAGGGGCTATATGGAAGTCTTGGAAGATAATTAGATATATACCAACCCTCCCCCCCCCCCCCCCCCCCCCACCCCCAAATTCAAGTATGCTTCTACTCCAAATGACTGTTACAAACATTTAAAACGTGGCAAACAGAAATAAATTGTTTTGAAGAAAGCCTACTTAAACTTGATTCAGTAACACAAATTTATGTAAAAAACATAATAAACGTGATACAGCGCAAAATGTGTCTCTCCAAATACATTTTTTACTGGCCAACAGTAGGCCTACGTTTTTTTAATACAGAATTGTGCTTTGAGGTAAACGTTTGCGTGACTGCCGTGATATTTACAAGCAATTTTATCTCTTCTGGGTTGAAATACTGATTCGGATTCCATGAATAGTCATGTATTTGATGCTGTGATGTTTCTTTCAACATACCTTCTAATTTTCATTCGGGTATTTATCTTGCTGCAAATCCTTTGGTCGTCCTCCATGCTTTCTAGCCAACACGTGACGTCGAATGGCGCAGGACTCGCCTTCACTACCAACAATTTGTTGATCAATAGGGAATTGTATGATAATTTTGTTTTTCAAAATATACCAAGACACGTTTGGATTTTCATATTAAGTCGGAATAAATTCGGAAACATTAGATGTTCGTACATCAAACAATATGTGATCACATTGTAGCAAAATATGTTGTTAAAATTATTACTTTACACATATTCATTTTTATATAAATATCACCTCAAAGGTCAAACATCTATGTGTGAAATGTGCATTAAACGTAAATTGAGTGTTTTAGTCAAAAAAAATCTAATTGGTTTAAATGTATTTTAACTTGCATCAAACAATAAAATTATTGGAAACTGTTTTCTTTGTTTCTTTTCTTGCTAATGTTATATAGGCCTATGAGGTATGAAGATATTTTTTAATTTTAAAAATCTTGTGCATGCAGTTTCTCAAAATATTTCCGCACCTTATGCGAAAACAATTAAAAATGGCATGATTAAATTAATGGTTGATAAGGATGAAACTGTCAATTTTGATTAGCATTGTTATGAGTTTGACTTCTTTATTTGTTGTTGCTGTTTTTTGTTTGTTTGATTGTTATAGCAATGATGTACTTTTAAAAGCAGCATATTGTGTACTACCAACATTGCATGCATTATTTCATTCAAAGACATCTAAAGACAGTTTGAGTATATTGGTTTATTGAAAAATGAATTGAAAATTTACCCTGAAATAAGGTCAAAGTACTACTGAAATATCTTTCATACTGACTGTTCCGTGCTGTTGAAGTACATGTCAGGACACTCTGCAACTATTATGCAAATATCAAAAACAAATGGATTTGGTTTAGAGTTCAGTAATGTTTTTTTGACAGGTTATTAAAAACAAGATCAAAACAGGAATAAACCTGACTAACACCCCTGACACGTTTTTTTATTCAAAAAGAAATTAAAAAATATAAATAATTTTAAAACCAATTTCATTTGTCAAGAAGAAAAGTATTTATTTTTGAATTATTGATTTTAAATACAACTAAAATAAATGTAATAAAAACTGTCCAAAATATGACATATACATTTATTTAGTTATCATTTGCACTTTTAAAGCATTCATGTATGAATGAAATGAAATCAATAACTTACTCAGATAGTAGCATACTTAAACATTTTAATATTTACTAAGACTCAATACTGTCTAAATCAGGGATGGACAAACTTGGTCCTGAAGGACTAGTGTCCTGCAGAGTTTAGATCCAACCCTAATCAAACACACCGGCCTATAGCTTTCTTGCGATCTTAAAGACCCCAGGCCTGTAGCCAGCCTGGTGAAAGGGCTGGTCCTATTTATCAAAAGTGGACCTTGTTGCAATTATACGCCTCATTTTCTATTTAATTATGAAATTTAAATACTGCATTTTAGTGACAGTTGAGTTTTATTCTGAATTAGCTTGTCAGATGGTCATCATATCATTTGACTATTTTAGCCAAAATAATATTCAAATCATTTTTAATATGGGCCGCTTTTGGTGCTTCACATATTTATTTTTAGTAAATTTTTGTTTTAAGAATAAGGTCCAAGATTTAGAATAAAAGTTAATTATAAAGTTGTAAAGCTACTTTTCTCTATTTTAAAAAATACAGTAGCGAAAGATTTCTCTTACGTCAGATTGTATGTTGTCTTGCACAGAATGTTGGATGCACGAAAATATTTGTTAGCATTGGACAAAACTGGTTAGCAGAAGTCACACCGAAGTGAAATCCAACAGAGAAATTTGCTTGGTCTTAAAGCCTTTTTCGATGGGTTATTTTTACCATTATAACATAGCAGTCAAAATATGAAAAATTAGTTAATGTATGGTACAAATTCTGGACCTTTGTCAGCGAGGGTGGGTCTTACCGAACCATCTGAACCACCCCCTGGCTACAGGCCTACCCCAGATTAGCATGTGTGATTGATTTATGTTGGAGCAAAACTCTGCAGGACACCAGGCCCTCAGGAAAGAGTCTTCCCATCTATTGTCTAATTGGTCATCACACATTAAATATTTCAGTCATTACAAGTGTACAGTAAAATGTATTTTCAAATGATTATACATATTGTAAATTCAGATTGATCTTATTTCTGTAAATGTTGATTCTCAAAAATGTTTTAAGTTTTATCTCAGGAAAAGTGCTTCAGTATGACAATCTTTTGCATAAGACGTACAGTACACATTTTGTCTCTTTACTTTACATTTCCTTTTACATGCTAATTAGTCTTGAAGTGGTCTCTTCTGTTGATGAACACACATTTGATGTCAGAAAGTGCAATATCCACACTGCTACATTTCAAAGTGATAATAAATCGGCACATTCCAGTGTTCGGGCAGATGGAAAACTGTTGAGCTGGATCTAAACCACGAGGCACTGGGCATTTCAGGTCCTCAAAAAAATAGCGCATGGCTATGCTCATATAAGCCCCATGACCGACCACCAGTGCATGTACAGGCACACTAGAGACTCCATCATTAGCCAGTCCTGCTGGAGCCTCGGTGCTTTCGTCTGCTGAGGATGTTCCTCCATCTTGTACTTTGTCTTGATGGTCATTTGCTATTCGCTGGTACATGGCCTTCAGAAAATCCTTAATTCGCAACTTCACCTGGAAAAATGTGGCCTTTCTATTAGTGGTGTGCAATTATAACTTACCAAATAACTGTTCACTTATCATTATTGATCAGCGTGTTAGTTTATGTCTGTTTTGGATAAAAATATGACACTAAAACTGCCAGTAGGTAGCAGCAAGTCCTTGTTTTAACAAGCGATTCACTGAATCATTCATTCAATTGATTTGTTCAAAATGAGTGATTTATTTAGAAACAATGCAACTTTTCGTCTACATCCAAAATTGCATCCTCAAATTTATAATGCACCCATTTTAAAGAAATGTATATAAAGCAGTGTGCAAATTATACATTGACGATTAGGGTTGGTGGAGGGGTAACGTTAGTATGTTAGTTCGGTAATTTTAGTTTGTGTAATACATGCTTCAGTCATTTATGTATTTATTTAAATTACATCTAATTTATTAACAAAACATATTTAACTTTGCAGTGTTTTGATGGATATTTCGTGTATTCTGATGTAAAGTATCCTCTGATTAGCTATTTCAGGCATCGAACTTCATTTTCTTGTCGGCTTAGTCCCTTTATTAATCTGGGGTCGCCACAGCGGAATGAACCGCCAACTTATCCAGCAAGTTTTTTTACGCAGTGGATGCCCTTCCAGCCGCAACCCATCTCTGGGAAAAGGCATCAAACTATGCATCTAATTTGACTTTACTTTCAGGCTATTTGAACATACAAATGCATATTTTATGACAAAACAGTCTTGTGAATACTTACTATGTCTGGTGCTCTAGATCTGCCAGTTTCAGATTGTTATATGAATTTTTTTCTGGCACAAACTAATTGGTGTGGTTATGTATATTCACAAATATACGGGAGGTCAAATGTATACTTATATTATTATTTTAATTATTAACATTATTATTTAAAATGCAGTGAACTATTTATCAGTATTAAAGGGCTGACCCCCCATAAATCTTGCTTTAATGTCTTTGATCAATATCAAGCATAAATTAATTTGCACCCTGACATAGAGTATGTAGTATGGACATACTATGTTCAATCACCATGTTGTTAGAGTAACATGACTAGCCCAGTCCGATCTCAAGAGGAAACGCAACTATTTTAAGTATTGTCCGAAAAATGGCCAATTTTATTAAAATGTAAATGTATTGTAAAATGGAAAAAAAATAATGTAAATGTAAATCTAATTATTTTTAAAAGGAGGCAGGCTCCAAACTCCACCGCTAAGCCAATCCCTCACTGTGGGATGAGCAAATCATCCTAAAATGTATGAATGAAATCATGCAAATTGATATGAATTAGCCTCTAAATCAAAAAGTTACAAACTGCAGTGAGATTGTGTTGAACCAAACACATTTTTATGATTGCATGACTGAATCTTGGACTCATTTAAATAATTCAAATACAAATTAACTCAGTGCAGTGTTGCACTGGGTTGTACAAATGTTCTGGTTCTGCTTTGTTTGAAACAATTAACTGGTGAAAAAAAAAATCAAATTGTCATTTAAATGAAAGTTATGAAATATATAAAACGTTTGTGTATGAATATCACATTGTAGGGTTGTGCTGAAAAACAACACTCCTGCTTGTGGGCTTAAACATGACACTTTACAACAATATTCCATCAGTTACTTTTAGTTAACTAACATGAACTAACAAAAGAGCATTTGTTACAGTACTTTTTTTTTAAATCTTTTTTTAATGTTAGTAAACTACTTGCTGCTAGTTCGTGTAAGCTAAAAGTTAATAACAGATGCACAATTTGTTATTAATAGTATAAATGCTCAAATAACCAAGATTAACATCATTACTAAGATTAACTTTATCACTAGTTCACATTAACTAATATAGAAAACCAATGTTAACAACTAGAACCTTAAAGGCACAGTTTCACCCAAAAAATGAAAATGTACTCATCCTTCACTCATTCCAAACTTATTTGAGTTTCTTTGGTCTGCTCAAGGGCGAGGCAGTGGCGCAGTAGGTAGTGCTGTCACCTCATAGCAAGAAGGTCGCTGGTTTGAACCTCGGCTCAGTAGGCGTTTCTGTGTGGAGTTTGCATGTTCTCCCTGCCTTTGCGTGGGTTTCCTCCGGGTGCTCTGGTTTCCCCCACAGTCCAAAGACATGCGGTACAGGTGAATTGGGTAGGCTAAATTGTCCGTAGGGTGTGTGTGAATGTGTGTGTGGATGTTTCCCAGAGATGGGTTGCGGCTGGAAGGGCATCCGCTGCGTAAAAACTTGCTGGATAAGTTGGCGGTTCATTCCGCTGTGGCAACCACAGATTAATAAAGGGACTAAGCCGACAAAATGAATGAATGAATGGTCTGTTCAACACAAAAAAGTTATTTTGAAAAATGCTGTACCCATTGACTTCCAGTTTTTTTTCTACTATGGAAGTTGGTGAGTCCCAGCTACCAGCTTTTTTCAAAATATCTCCTTTTTTGTTCAACTTCATTCACATTTCCAGAAAACATGGAGCATTGGACACTAAAAACATTTTAGTAATTGATGACAATTAGAAAAAAAAAATCAAAACATTTAAAAAAACCAAATGCATGTAATATTTTAATGACACCCAGTTCATTTTACCTGTTCCATGGTCTCTCCCTCGGGTGGAGTGAACTCTGGTAAAGGCTGTCCTGCTGCTTTAGCCATGTTTTTCATATCTATAACTCGACCTCCCTCAGCTATGCCAAAACTCTGGAGAAAAAAAACTTGTGTAATATGAAAAAGTGTAGACATTTTTTCTTATTTTATCAGGCAGTACTTACCCTTTCTATAAGTGATGGATCTGCTACCAGTTCTAAGTCATGGCAGGTTCTGTTGTTTCTTACAATGATCTCAGCAGTCTGTATTTTAAAGACATGACTATTCATATATGATTATAATATTAATATATTGATATAAGTTTAAAGGTCCCAACAAATACACATTGTAAACAAATAGACACAAAAGAAATTATCGCTTTTAAAAAGAAACATTATGATTATAAATTCAGTGGGCATGTGCAACCTTATAACTACATTGCAATATATAGAAATTGTCTGATGCAAATCATGTGGAAAGATAGTATCTTTATCTTATTTGATATTCTTATCAATACTCACTTATTAAATACTTAATCAAGCTTTTTCAGCATTACCATCTTATTTCTGAACAGAATAACCTAAAAAGTGGTTGTTTGATTTGTAGAGAAACATCTCCCTCTACTGGTAAACAGATTGAATGTTTTAGTTACTGGTGTGTTTCTGTTTACCTGCTTGGCACGTTTCATGTTGCTGACAAACACATTTGTAAATTTCACATCCCTGAGGTATTGTCCAGCAGCCTCAGACTGCTGTATGCCAATGTCAGAAAGCAGAGAGTCTATTTTCTGACCTAAAGTTGAAATGATAGATGTGGTCACAATGTGGAAATTTAAATAGGCTAATAATAAACCTCAATGCGTAGAGATAACATATGTTTTAATTTTCTCTCTAAACAATTACCTTGTAAAAGGCCATCTTTGTTGCACTGCGTCTCACCACTGGCAAAAAACACATCACAAGTAATCAATAAAAGCTTTATTACACACTTCATTACCCTTCATTATACACTGCAAGCCAGCACACCTTTGTTGTTGAATAAAAAGAGGACCTTTTGCCAAGGCTGTGGATTATATGTAATACTTTTTTCTCAAACATATTCATTTTTCTTCATGTATCATCAGAAGCAATGACTGAAATGAATTATGGTGTTTATGATTTTTTTTATTTACATTATATGCTGCTTATTATTATGTATAAATAAATATGAGGTTGAGAAACTTAATAATAAATTTAAAAAATTGGGTGAGCCTTGTTTTTTTGCAATTATTATTATTATTATCATTATCATCATAATAACCTTTTGACTGCCCCTCTACACTCTCAGAACTAAAGGTACTTGATCTGTCACTGGGATGGTACCTTTTTTTGTAAAGATTTGTGCCTAAAAGGTCCCTATTGATACCTCAAGTGTACATAATAGTACCTAAAAAGAACATAAGTGTTCCTCTTAAAATTTGTAGGTACTAATATATACTTTTGAGGAACAAATATGGACCCTTCAAGTACAAATGTGTGCCTTTTCAAAAGGTATCACCCCAGTGACAGCTCATGTACGTTTATTTCTGAGAGTGGCTTTATAATGGCTTTATAGGTAATAGTCCTGTAATTTAGGTCATAATCTTGTTGCACTACTACACTTGATTTTGGTTTTATTGTAACCCCCACCCCTCAAAAAATGTTAAATGAGACTTGAAATATTTTATGGCATACTTCAAAAAAAGGTGATTTTGTATTCAAAAATATATTATTTGGACTTTTTTTTATTATTAATTGGTCTTATACTTCATATTTTCATGTTTTTCATATGTATTAAGTCCAGTACTTTTACCATAATCCGACATATCAACCATTTGGTAGATACCTCTACCATTTGGTTGAGGTATTTTAGAAATTATGGAATGCATTGAGTATGTTAACTAGTGACATTAGGACATTTTTTTCTTGGTGTAGTTAAATTGATAAAGCAAGTTTTCTTAAACTATTGATCTTTATCCATCTAACTATCCATCTATCTGTCTGTCTATCTATCTATACACACACACACACACACACACACATATATATATATATATATATATATATGTGTGTGTGTGTGTGTATATATATATATATGTGTATATAAATATATATGTATATATATATATATATATATATATATATATATATATATATATATATATATATATATGTTAAAATATAATATATTTTAAATATATGTAGCCTATCTGTCTATTTAACATATATAGTGAATGTAGAAGTTGCCGTTTGAGTAAGTTTACCTCTGACCTTTCACTAAAGATGGATTCGTATTGACCTTTAGGCATAAGCTACAACAACACGAGAAATACAATATGAGGAACCCTTATTGCCTCTAGAGAAGCTCTAATGTTACTTACATTACATTACCTAGGTTACTCAATCTGTGGCGTGATTTTAGTTAACTTATAGGCTACTATACTGTATACAGCGCTTTACATACGTTAGAACTAACAACTTCTAAACTGCTCAAATCACTTTTATTTACAATTACTTAACCAATTGTGCAGTGTAAATAACTATGAATAGAACAAATCACTTTCATAAAGCAAACAAAACAGAACTTACTGTCGGACTACTGTTAAACCAAAGGCGAGCATGTCGCAGACGCGTCGTGAAAATAATACAATATCTTCACCGTTGATATCCAACTCGGAGTCAATAACAAGCTTTCAGCCCTTTTTACGTTTTCAAATAGCCGCCAGTTGTTGCTGATTTTGGGTCACAGCTCTCTGACAGCTCTTATCCCGGTGTTTGACAAGCCGGAAATGTGTACGCATGCGTTGAGATCCGATTCAATTTTACAAATTGATTCTTTTTGAACGGTTCAATCAACACTTCAGAGATCCTATAGATTCAAGGCTTGTACTCAAGTTTTACCGATACAGCTAACGTTGTTAATCATAGTTTTTTTATTAAATACATTTTGTATTTAACCAATTGGTTAATTTTGTGCTCTTTAGTTTGTTGACGCTGAAACAAAATCATTCACATACGCCGCTTCTTGGTTTATTAAACTGTCATTTGTTTAGGCCATCTCTCTTGCCTTGGTATGATAAAATTCATAATACAAATTTCTCCAGCCTGTAGCCTAGCCTATCATTCATCTGATCAGTGAACCAGATCAACCGACTCCTAAGAAGATTCGACTCAATGGAATGATTCGTTCCCTGACGTAAGCCTCGCAGTCATTCGCGGGCTTTGAAATTGTTTAGTTTGTCATTCATCGGTTTTTATTTTAGACTGCATCTCACCAACATTACTCGACACAAAGATATGCTGCTCTACATTATATATTTAAATGCACACAGCTATTTCTCAGAGAGGCATCCTAAAACATGAAAGTCGACGAAACTGTAACAGCTTTAACCACAGTTATTGACTGAAATAAGGAGAAGAGAGACGTTAAGCTTCTTTCATGGTAAGTTTAATTGACCTTAGCATACAGCATGTACTCTCCTTTAACTTCATTCATGCTCTCAATGACAAATGATTTGAGGTGAACATAAATCCAAAGAATACCAACATAGTTGCTAAGCCCTAATGAGTTGAATGACAGGAAACATTGCTGAACAAAAAAAGTTCAACGTCTGTTTCATTTTTGAATTGTGTCATTTTCATCCGGTTTGTGTCTGATTATTCACACTTTCTCCACAGTTATTCTTAACCAGGTTATAACATGTTGGATAGTTATTTTCACCTCCACAATTTCCAATAAATGGGAAGAATAACATAGGACCAACATAGCACCGCGCTCTTTAAAGCAGATATTAACTGAACGGAGGTTGTGCAACAGACATTACTGAGGTACATGATGTGGTTATAGTGGAGGGAGGAGGCCTTTTCTCAGTGTTGATGTTTATTTGCTATTTACAGGTTTACTGGTCTATCTCCTGACATGAAATGAATACATAAGACATTGTTGACCATTCGCCATCTCCTCCATCCACTATTGCTGATGTCCATGTGGGAGCCTACTTGTTTACATTGAAATTCAGATTCCACTGAATTTACTACACCAGACAAAGCAACATTTTGATATGCTCTTCTTTGTGATGTAATTTCCAGGTTCCCGAAAAAACTGTTATGAGTTGTGTGAGGTAATGGAAAAGTCTTTTATGTCCAGTAAACCTGAGGTATAGAGATACCACACTTACAGAATGTGACAGAGAAGAAGAGGAGGAAAAAAGATTAAAAGGTAAAGAAACATGCCTTAATAAGAGCACACTGTACAAAGAGCATTTCCAGTCGAATACTCATTTCATGTTCTTCTTTTACCCTCTACTTCTGTATTCTCAAAATATTCTGTAAGCAGTACAATAATTATAACACAATTGTTTATAAAATAGCAGCACACTGATGTGACATCACAAGTATGTAATGTTATTTTTATGTATACGATGAAACAAAAAAAAAATCATAGCTTTTTAGCAGCGGAAAATAACAATAATAATAACAATATTGACACTTGATTGATGTCTTCACACCCTTTCCATCTCTCATCACTTTGGAATACAGTATCTTCCCCCTTAAGGAACGAAACTTCGGTCCATATTCAACCCACATAGCCACTCACATAATCTGTTAACAGTACTGTAATTTTCAGAGCAGAGCTGGGAAAATAATAAGACAGACTAAATTAATACAATAAAATTGACGGGGGTTTTGGTGTGAGGATGGAAGAAATGTTGCTTGTGAAACTCAAGCATCACTAATAATTGTTTATGGAGAAAAGAAATGTATTGAGTACTCATACACATCTCCTTTACCCACAGACAACATGCAAACAAACACACACGCATACACAGACGGACACATACTTAAGCTCGACTGCCCCTTTTTAAGGTAAGCTATGAGAATTCAGCAAATGAAAGCCGTGTTGTACTGCTGATGCACCCTGTTTTAAGCCACCGTGTAATGACTTGCGGAAGTTTTCAAACCCCATGCCAGTTCAACCTTTGGAAGCAGCGTATTTTGGATGGCTGGGTACGGTAGTGGAACTTTATGTTTAAGCTCAGCAAAACAGGGTGAAACCTACATCAGACTCAAGGCACTATATAAACTTTTTTTTTCTGCAATGGTGCAGTTGCAGATCTTTTCGAATTTTAGAAAAATTGCAGCGTGCAAATGAACAAAAAAATTTTCTTTTTTGTCTTTTTGTTGTCTGTTTTTTGGTCTTTTCATTTTTGTATCATCATTTTGTTGCTGTTGTTGTCATACGTTGGTTTCCAATGCTTAAACGCTTTAATTAAGCAAACACGCCATGATCTAAACATGGTAAACCAGCCCCAAACAGAAAAAAAAATAAATGAAAAAGAAAAAATGACTCCTTAAACATAACCATTTGTTATACATGGGAAATAGGCTTTCTGAACTAAAGCTGATGGATTAACCTTCCCCATTTGTGAGCTGGCAGTATGAAACTGGTTAAGATACTGGTCTGTAATTCAAACATAAGACAAAACAACTAAAGGACAAACAAATAAACAGACAAATAGATTAAAGATCTTAAATATCAGGTGATTTATGGAAACCATAGCTGTTGTTTCTGCTTTGGTCTCCTTTCCTCCTACTAACTCCATCTAAGCAGCATGCTTCAAATCTCAAACCAACCAACCTTCATCATAATTTTCATCCTCGATCATTCTTTCTTACACATTCTTTTACTGCTAATAAACACTCGTTTGCAAACTCATCTCTCAGTCCCAGATAGGACCAAACACGAATCAGCCTTAGGCTCCTTCAACACACTCACAACCTAAATACGTAATCACGTAACAAACTGTATGTATACAATACAACTGTAATATTTAGTGGAAGGCTGCCATGAAAGACGACCATATCCACAAATTTTAAAAACAAATCTTCTTGCCTTTAGAAGATCCGAGGGAACATACCCGTCCCTTTTCTAGCCTCGTCTTGTTCTGTGCACTGTGTTGGGCTCAGCCCTCAAGCAGTTTCCAGGCCAGTAAATAAAAGCATTTAATATAAGGCACTGATACAGGAGGCTGTCAGAGAATCGTGAAATCATTTGCTATCCCCTGTCCAGTCCTTTGACCATGTGCCCACCACTGAGCCCATCTCTATAACCAAACAGATGATTAAACAAAGCCCACATTACTCACACAAGAGTGCCTGATACAGAGTAACTTGTACACGCCTGCACACGAGCCAACATACACCACACATAATTGCATGCACACAAGCAGCTTGACAAAAGCTTATTTGAAGTGTCTGTAACTAGCATTGAGAGACAATAACTTGCTTGTTTAACAGAAATAATAATAATCATCATAATAAAATAATAATAATAGTCTATTTTTGTTACATAAGCCCCTGTTACCCTTGCAAAAGAGCCCTGCATTCTTAGCATAAGACTTGTGTCTCACCCCTCCTTTTAAATCTTTCTTTCTGGTCCTAATGCACTCTTAATACACAGCCAAGTGAATGGGTGCGTCCATTCAGACTCATGGCACCTCTTTGTGTGTTCAAGTTCAGGCATTCCAACGTGAACCAAAAAAAAAAAAAAAAAATCACAACAAAACAGGAAAAAAAAAACATAGCCCCACTTTTTGTACCCTTTCAAGCCAGTCTGATACAGTAGACTCTATTTGAAAAGCCCTTTACACTATCACTTTTGCATTAAATATCATATTATTATGTTTACACAATCAAAAGAGTTGCAAAATACTACACGCTTCCCTTCTAAGTCTGAGGCACCGTAGAGCTTTTTGCATCAGTATCAAATCATTTAAAAAATATCTATTTCTCGTATCTAAAATAGCTTTGTTTTTTTTTGTTTTTTATTTTCATTTACGGGAGAATATTTTGTACTGGAAAATGAAGGTAAAACTCTACAAAGACTAGCAAGCACTTTTTGTTGGGGTTGTTTGTTTTTTGTTATTTTTGTTTTTTGTTGGGTTTTTTTTTTCTTGAAGACTGATCACAGCATTCCTGCAGCAAGCTCACAAGTTGATGTCTCGTACATCGGTTGGGGTGCTGGACTGGTCCTGGTCATCAAATGCTTTGCTGCGCTGGCCACCCTGTTCCTGCTGTTGCTGTTTTTGCTGCTGCCGACGACCCTCCCTCAGGTTATTCATCAACACTCTCTCAATCTGCTCCTGGCATGCCTTTAACACATCCTGCAATGCAAACACATGACATTAAATGAAAGGCCACTCCGAAAACTCAAATGTCAGTAGCTTCAACTTTACACAATGGATAGTAGTGGATAATTGTCTAACCATAAGATTTAATAAACATTTTCACCCATTTTTTGTCCACAAAATACAACCAAAACATCCAAGATAAGTTACCCTGTGAACAGTTAAATCTGTAACACAGTTCGCTATGTTAATTACATCCATGTCCTGTGGATAAAACAAGGCAGTGTTTTGTTTTGTTTTATTATACCCTTTTATTTTCACAACAGCATGTAATGACCTAAGGGGATCTCACACGAGGCCACCTGAGTCTTTCTGCAGCTCTGTAGAACAAAGAACATCAAAATCTTTTTGTACATACATAGGATCTAAAAAAAAATGCCAAATGCCTTTGGGGGGCTCCAAAGAGCACATGGCATATTTAAAATGGCTTTCAGTGTCACCAAAAATGAGCAATGATGCCCTCTAGTGAATCTAAGTGAATGTTCAGTGATCACAGTTCTCCCTCTTGTTTAGTGGGTATGACTGAGGCACACCAGGCATCTGTGGGAAGTTTGCTGTGAATGGTCCATGGGGAGGGCCCAAGGAGAATGTGTTGCTTGTAGAGAGGCTGCATTCCTTTGACATTTACTGCTAATTAAAAGCTGATGGGCCAAAGTTGTAACTTATATTATGCATGGCTCCTGGGCTAAGCAAGTGCTTAATTCCTACAGAAGCAATTTACCATGAGAAATCTCAGGCGTTTAAAGATTTATTCAGGAAGAATGTAGTATAACTTTTTGTATTCATTGGCGTTTTTGTAGATGACAATGGCCACCATCCTTATAGAAGTCTTTTTCCCACCACGATAAACCATTATTAGGCATGAAAAATAAATTCCTTCTAGAAAATTAACAAAATCATTAAACATGTAAAGCAACTGCCTGTGTCTGACCACAAGAATGCCAGACCCGACTTCTTAAAAGACATTTCCCTGTGTGCTGCTCTTTATAGCTGCACTACAAACTCATGCCAAGCCTCAAAGGCTTAATTCAAGCAACGTTAATAGCTTCAATGTGTGACTACTGGTAAAACCAGGACTTGCTCTCGAAGAGCTTCTCAATTATTAGATCCAAAGGAGGGTGGCACTTAATGCAGAATGGAGTGGGTGGTCCCTGCCTAATCCAATCCCACCTTGATCAAGAACACCCTCTATCCCACCAAAGCATGTCTACATTTGTCAAAGTCAAACAACCTAATAAATGGGGATTGAACCCCCTGAAAAACTAGCAGTTATTGTGATGTCACTCGTGCCAGAACGTGTGCCATCTTGGGCAGAAGATGCCTAAAGGAAAGACACAGAAAATGATGTCTGTTTTTATTGAGAAGTGAAAGCAAGGATTGCCGGGTTCAGAGCAAGGCCATCACAGCATTGAGAAATGAAAGGGATTAAGATGTCCCGGAGGCCTAATGCAAGAGGCCAGGGGGCCTAACACATGATCCTGTGTACCAAAAAATTGCCTTGAAGTTCTTCTCTAAATAATTTTCAACAATTCAGTTCCAAATATCATTTCAGTTGCAAATAACAGGGTCCTTATGACATTATGACTTTAGGCAAAGGAGCATTCTCTGCATGCCAGACTCAAAGTGTCTAACATTTCACCTAATTTAGAAGATGCAAAAGTTTTTAAGAGTTTTTACTGCCTATTCTCTCTTTTTGATTAGTTTCTTCAGCTGAACAGCTTTGAATTGTATCAAGATGGACACAAGGACAAAAATGTAATGTCTCAACACAAACAAATAATTAAAGGTCTCATTTGATAGAACTGAAAACAGTTAGGCCTTGGATGACTACAATATCCAAAGGACCATCATTTACAGTACATACAGTTACAAATTTTACAGCCAGTAGCAGATGCATATTTACTGCCTTTTGCCTCTTTCTTAGAGAGACCATAGAATATTTGTGGAAACTTTGAGCCAATTTTTCAGCCTTCCTGGTTTGGCATGCATGTATGTACCTTACTGCTGCACAGAGTATACTTCACCAGGTGTGTCTTAGTCTACACACACATTCCAAGGGCAACTGGAAGAGGCTGGCTGTCCCTATCATATGTCTACTGGAAACTACAAGCACTGGAGACCACAAATGTCAGCAGGGTTCCTGGTTGCTAAGCTGGCAGCATCATTTGGCATTAGTTTGACTTTCCTTCAAACTCTGTCTGACCGCTCACCTCCCAACCTATGCCTCAATCTGGAAGGTCCTCATACACAGAGGAAAAGTTTAGTACACAACAATCTTGTTAGTGAAGACTAGTTATGTCTACTGCTATAGCTATATCTTTGATTCCATCAGTAGTGGTTTCCTTTGAAATTAACAACAACTGATATCATATCGGCAGTATACGCTAATAAAGCTCACATAAACCATGGCCCAGACTGCCTTTGTAGTGTACTTAAATATGGTTTGTGAATGAGCTAGTCATCATTGATGTGAAATTACTCATCTTTAATAATGACAGAATGTTCATGTTGGGTGAATTATCCCTTTAAGTGTTCTTTGGGCTGTATAAATCAGTGCAAGCAATATAGTTGAGTGCACCCTACCAGCATGTTTTCAAAGGTATGGCTTGTTGGCATCCAGCAATGTGACAAGTTTTGCATGGAGCAGGCAGTTCATTCCTTTTGCCCTGGACCTCACACTTCTTAGACACTGAGCACCTTTACTGCTGCCGAGGACTATTTGTTTTTCCTCTGCTATGGTGCACGACTTCACACACCACATGCTGGGGCAGCAGGCATTTTACCAGCAGCAATGCACTCTAGGGTCTCTTGAGGAGGGTTGACCTTTTCAGGTCAGAGCAGGATTTAAATATGCTTTACTTGGTTATTCTCTTAATCCTAATTATTCATATCCTTTTCTGAGGCTATTTTTTTCTTAATGAGTAACCAAAGACCCTGTTCTGCAGTATGTGTAAATTTGTATGCATGAAGCCATAGTATCCCTACACATTCCTCCAGCTCGATGAATTCTCCTTACAGTCCCTTGGTCAGGGTCAATCCCATTTCATTTCATTTCCAGTAAATCAGTGGCTGAATATGAAATTGAATTGGAGCTGGATTTAAGCCCATTGAACAAACAGGAAAAATGCACAGCCTTCTCTCACAGTGCTACAGGCAAGGTAACACTCACCCTACAGATTACCAAAAGCACTGCTGTAAGCAATCATAACTGAACAATGTTCTTTTTAAGGATTGTTTAAATGATAAAAGCGCCTCTATAGGATCATCTCACTTTTAAACAAACAGTTAGGTGATCTATGTAGCACATTGGCCTGCTGGGTATTGTCATGCACAGGATTCATAAAAAGTTGCATTAGAAAATTCAATAAAGCTGCAATACTCACAACTTCTGTATTTGTGATCTTGGCAAGCAATTCTGTAAGGTTGTCTCCCCACAGTGAGTGGTTAGTGCTGTTGAGTTGCAGGCCACAGATAGCTGCTGCCACACTACCCGTTGCAATCATGGATGGAGGGTACATGGCAAAGTTGAAATCTGTGGAAGAACAAACGAGGTATTACAGTCACTCAAGGGAAGTTCCTAAAAACAGACTTTTCCATAATACTTTGACAGAGTATCTCAAATATTATGATATGGATATAAAAATATCCGAAATCAGAACTACTAATAAATAAAGACCTTTTCCATTAGGTCTGTGCACAGTCCTTTGCTAATGACTGCAGCACGGGATAATGAGGGTTCATTTGGCTTGAAAAGAATCTGAAAAGCACCCCCACCCCCATCGCTCTCCTCCAGTCACCCTTTGCAGATCGGCCCCTTTTCTTCCAGCTCCTAAAGTAAATCGTGTGCTCCCTGAAAAAAAGCCCTATAGCCTTCGGAAAGGATGGAATAAAGAGCCACAGTCCCCCTGCCAGTGCGCACTGCTGTAGGTCCTTTTTCCACGTGTGGTCACAGGCGTGCATCTCAAAGACCAATAACCTTGTTAGCTTTCTCACTGTCATTCATAATGCAAATAAGACAGCTTGTGAACGGGCCCAAAGCCCAAAAGACGACTAACTGCGAGAGGGGGAGAAAGAAAGAGGAAAAGAGAAAGAACCGAACAGCTTAGGCTGTCTGCCCCCTGCCTCATTGATTTCTGTCTTTCTTCTTTTTTTACAGCTCCCCCTCTCTCTGTTTTTCAGCCTGTTTTCAACACTTTATTCCTTACGAAACATACCCCTAAGGTTGAATGGCACACATGCTCAGGCTTTGTTGTTACAACAGCTTGGGATTTGTATCAGCATCACTGCTATCTTTTAGCATATTAATTGAGTGAGACATTGCTAGACCTAGGTCGAATGAACACGAGAGTGTGGTCTCATTGTCCAATATCATCACCTCATCTCATTCAAATGAAAGATACAACATCAAGCCCTCTATGTGAATTCCATTTCAACCCAACAGTCAGCACAAAAGATGGGTGTTGGGGGAGGCTGTTGTTGGGTTTTAGACTGCAGGGGTGGCTGAGGGGGGCACTAAGCATCATTCTTTAGTTAGTGTCCAGACCTTCGTAAGTATTTTGGCAGAAGAAAAGACCCTTCTACCCAACTCATCCCCCCCCCATGCCATTTCTCTGATGCAGGGCCACCTCTGGGCTCACGGTCTCACACTCCACGGCAGGCTTTGCATTACCATATTGCCATATTCAATTGCAAAGCAAACCATGTGTGATGGCTCTGAGGGTGATTTTCTTCCTTTTTTCTTTTTAGGAAAAAAAATCAAAGAGGTTGGCTCTTTGATAACTGATGAGCATGCCTTCTTAGCATTCAAAGCCAGGCATTTTCTCATTTTGCAGCTCAGTGTTGACAAATAAATGAACTTACAATACACTCTTCTCTTTGTAGTTGATTACGGGGCAGAGAAACAAAAAACATTAAAAGACAAGTTCTGGTCAAGCGTAAGAAGAAAAAGTTAACCACATTGCAACTCCTTGGGTCTTTTGCGGCAGAGAGAAAAGAAACATACAGAGGAAAATGGGTGCCCACACAGCTTGCATTCCCTGAGTGGGTAGCAATCTGATTTTTCACACTCCAGACAAGACAAGTTTGTCTAGGAAACAAGAGTACACGCGTGCTAGCGGCAGAGCAGGACGCTCTGGTTTGTGAGAGTGGTAAAGGAAGAATGGCTGTATTCTGTGGGCCTTCATTGATATTCATGCAGAGGATAAACAGTGTATGTAGCTGAGTGGGGACGCCTGTGATGGAAGGCTCCTAGTAAGCGGCGGCTGGCTGGCCTGGTAAACCAGCCTCTCACCCCCTTCAATGGTCCATTCTCCTGCCCTTGCCACACTGCATTCTCAGACCTATGCCAACACAGCAAGCTCCTTGGTGGGTGCAATGTGCTATATACGCATTTAACTTGTAAATTAATTAAGCGCTGGGAAAGTTGACGAACAGCCAGAGACAAATGATTTAAGGGCCAATAAATCAAGTGCCAGACTTTCATGATGCACAGGTTTGCATTTACAGAAAGTCTTGTTTTAAACAACCATGTTCAACCTGATTGATAAAGATCAAATATAAACATGAATTCGGCATCATGGTGTAACGCACAGTCAAATGAACTAAGTTACTGTAGAAGAAAGAGACAACCGTAAACAGAATAAATATTTAACATGAATATTCAAATAAATACTAATTCACTGACATTTCCTGACAGTTGGTTAACCCTACAACATAGCTGGATATTTAAAGAAAGTAATTTAAAAGTAGTTTTACATGCTACGTTGAGTCATGTCTCAAGTAGATAATTAGATATTAGCTAATCATGTTTGGGATATTGATGTTTAATATTACTTAACAGAGTTGTTGTATTACATTGACTGTCTATTGTCATTTTTTGAGAACTGTCCAATGTGTCAAATTTTCAGCAAAGTAATTTTATCATCAAAAGCGGCGTGTTGGTCTATCCTGTCAAACATGGTAAAACAGATGTATTAAAAACAGGAACCCTCTTTGACTGTTAAAAATCCTGTAACAACTTGTTTCAATCTTGCTCCAGTACTCAAGTCTTAAGCAACAGTCGTCAGGCCGGTGTGGGAGGAAACGGAGCCTTCTCGAAGAGAAATGAGATGAATCTGTAGATTTAATTTTCAGCCTTGATGAACTCTCCACCAGTCACTAGATATTTATTTTTCCATTTTCTCTCATAAGTAAACCTCTCAAGAGTGGCAAGATAATCTCCCACAAAATGCATCTCACGTCCGCTGTTATACATTTACAGACAATCTTTGATGGAGAAGTTAAAGGGGTGCTGGGTAATTAACAGTGAAAATGGTGTATAATCACTTTTAATGAGCGTGTTCCTGTGCAGGCCTTCGAAAGACCACCCCTCCAGAGAAACGTTTTATCGGGTGCTCCTTCTGCACTGACCCTTACATGCCTCTGCATATGAAATGGAGGGTTGTTTCTTTTGTCTCCTTTCTTGTGGTCTCTAGCCGAGCCCTCCACCCATTTGCATTTCTCTGAATAGTCCATGTTATTAATTAATACTGAACTAGCCTACGCTGGCTGACCAAACCTTAGACAGTGCTCTGAACGGAACTGTTTTATCAAATGCAAAGAACCATTAAAATTAGCTGCCGTCTTTCCATGCTCTTCCTTTCTCATTCAGATATGGAGGCCTAGATTTATGCAAGTCTCGGAAAAGAGGGGGGAACTGAATTCTCTGCAAAGAAAGCAAACTGTACAGACAAAAGAAAAGACACAGTCAAGGCATCTGCTTGGCAATTAAAATCTTTTTTTATACCCTCTGAATCCCTGTTGTTAAACTAGCAACTAGTTTGTATACTGCTTAAGTCAAGACATCTGCTAGCATCAGATGGATTAATCAGCATCTCACCACCAAGTTATATACCATTTAAATCATCCCAGCTATCATCAAAGCTCATCCATAAAGATATTTTAAACCAAGAACGCACAAACTAAAAGAAGACTCGAAGACCTGTCAGCTCCTCCTACCAATGCCTTTTCTTTCATATCCCACTTTCCCAAAGTCAATCCTGAGGTTCCTGTAGAGTTGAGTAACCCCAGGGAAGAAGAAAGAAGCCTGAGGGAACATTGGTGGTGCATTGGATCCCATTACCGCCTATGGTGATGTTGGGTGCAGGCTTGGCTGGGAGAACCAGCCCCACAAAGGCTCCTGCTTATGGGAAAGTCGTCATGCCCTGGAGCATCTGGGAGGCGTGAGAAGAGGGGATAAGATATGAAAACATGACATGCTTCACTGTTTGGCTAGGCTGAAACAATACACTCCTCACGTTTTCTCACCCTCCTCTCATCTCTACGTTTGATCTCCTAAAGGTGGTCCACCTCTAGAACAGAAACAGTAAAACCACTTGCTCACCAGCACACAGGAATGTCCTTAACTATACAACTGTCCTTTGAAGTGTCACTGCATTCAGGACTAGCCACTGATATGCCCGCCAAACATAGCAGGCAAGCACATAAGGCTTCCAGAGAAATTCTCTCCATTACACATCACTATTTCAATCCACATAGTTTCTCATGAATGTAATGAGATGGCATCTGATAATTTGCCTGCAACAAGAACCTGAGTAAAGTTGCCATAGATACTAAACCCACAGAGGGCTTTGATTTCTGGTTTTGCAAGGTATAAACACAAGCCTTTTGCAACAAGGCACTTATGGAGGTGATGATGCCAGGTATCAACACCAACTTGAGTTAGTGGATCTTTTATCACTCAGTCTTAAAAGACCTATAAAAGATGCTTTTCACAAGCGTTTCTTTTTTAACGGATGAACATGTTTGCTAATACTGAACCGATAGAGCTTTACAGATTGTCAAGAAGATTGGATGCTCTAGGTAATGTACAAATGCATGTTGAGAGTTTTATGTGAAACCAGAGCCAAGTTTTGTGAAGGAATACACTTTTTTTTTTTTGCAGCATGGTGTTTTATTTCTTTATATTTCTTAATATCTACATTGCATACACTACCTGTTGCACATAGGGCGATGAAAGTCTGCACATGTTTACGAATCAGCTCCAGCTTATCCTCAGGCAGCGGAAGTTTCCTCATAATGTGCTCAATAAAGTCATTGGGAGTGACAGCTGCTAGGTTCCACTTCAATTTGCCCAGGACAACCAGCTCCCATTCCTGTAAAAGGGTTTGAGGAAAGAAGCAAAATCACCAACTATAGTGACAAACTGCATCCTTTCAGTAGCTTCCTGCCTCTAAGATATCTTACTTTGCTTTATTAGATCTGAATATCATTTAGGATGCTGGGCTAATAATTTATAGCAGGGGTGCCCAAACACAGTCCTGGAGGGCTTGTGTCCTGCATAGTTTAGATCCAACCCTAATCAGACACACCTGTGCTAGCTAATTAAGCTTTTAGTAGGCTTGCTAGAAATATCCAGGCAGGTATTATAAGGCAAGTTGGAGCTAAATTCTGCAGGACAACTGCCTTCCAGGACAGAGTTTACACACCCCTGATGTTCCAATTCATTGAAATGCTGTTGCTTGCTATACATTTGAATCTCCACTTATAATAGAAAGTAAAACCTCAGTTCAACTCATTTCAACAGGAAATGCAAAGCTACATATTCTGAAAGATATTTGCTCAGTGTGGGGACACTTGACCTGAATACCTGCTACTCAGATTGTCTAGCATCAGGTATGAGTATGTTCTTATAGCAATCTGTTAGTCAAAGGCTGCTTAGTTGATTGATGGACATGTCATTAACATCTTTGCAATTACAAACACATTCATATAAAACATGATTCTTAGTCTTATATATATTAAAAAGATTTTGTTGTAACCTTAATGGAATAAACATGCTTCAATAATGACCATGTGACTGTCCAACACTGCTGATTATACCATTTTGTCTTTTGGTGGCACTGTTGATCCAAAACACTAACTTGCTTTGACCTAACTCACATTGACAAGTGTTAATTTTAGATACTTATTTACTTGGTTGCAGACAAGAACAAGACAGCATCCTTCGAATAACCACTCCTCCTTCCTGTTTGAAGTTGGATGAGTAATAGCTAGTGACTAATTGGGGAAACCTTACATTTGCTGATATGGGACTGAGTGCTCGCTCTGAGGTGGTTTTCTCCCAAGTGAACCACACACACATAGTAATAATAGGCATAATATGGTTACCATTACCTTCTGAGACATTTTGAGCTCCTTTAACCTATCATCAAAGAATTATTCATACACCCCAAAAACAGCTAATTGATCAAGAATAAAATGGCAGCCATGTGATGCATGATTTCTTCACTTCCTCTCTTTGCTAGATTTCACTGGTGAGTGCCTTTCACAAATCTGCATACAGCTACATGTTCCAAAGTGACCTTTTCTTAGGAGAGGTGCCTGATGTGAACATGAAGCCCGATGACAAATCATTTATATAAAAAAGCCATAGACTCCTGGTATACTAAGAGGTTATTATGGAATGTAAACTATGAGAAGAGGCATTCTCAATGTACATGCTATTAAAAATTACCCTTCTAACAATCACCGTACTCATCCTCTAATGTCATTCTAAAACCTGTCACTTTCTTGCATTCAGTTAATATACATAGACACCAATCAGTGTTGACTGACTTTGTACAGAAAAAAAAAAATTTTGACAAAGAAAGTCAAAAAGGGCATGACCATTAAGTATAAAAGGACATGTAATTAAGGAAGTGTAATCTCCATTTTTAGGTCGAACACACTGTTGAACTACAAAGCAATAAATGAACAAAAACATCAATTACTTAAAAACATCATACAATCTTCTGTGTGCTCAACTAAGCAGTCCGGTGTCACTGAGGCCAGCCCTAACACTCACTGTGAAACTCTTGCAACACAGCCTTAATGCAGGAACCCACTTCCTCCTTTTGAGCCCTCCAGCTGTACCTCCCAGCTATATGCAGTTTCATTTACAAGAAATTCTTGCCAGCTAAGAAGGACAAGAAAATGAAGATGGCTTTGACAGCTGATCTTCTGACTCCCTGCATCAGTTGGTCTGATTGCAGACCAGCAGAAGCTTAGACAACAACAGCAAAATTAACACTAGGCCAGCCTAAGAAAATAAAATACACAGGAGTTTGCCCAAAATGGCAATTTGTTAACGTTTTCACAGCACAGTGTTTTTTTTTTTTTTTTTAAGCAGCATTTGCTCATAGTTGCCTAAACAGTTAGCCTAGGCATAAAGAAATTAATAGATGTCAAATGATCAATTGACAAGACCTTGGCTATGATGTAGCTGTGAGATGCATAGTTGCCACTAGATGGCGTAATAGCCCTTCAATGCGCAGAAACGCACTTTAAAACTCTCCAATCGCGAGAATATATATATATATATATATATATATATATATATATATATATATATATATATATATATATATATATATATATATATGTATGTATATATATATATATATATATATATGTGTATATATATATATATGTATATATATATATTTTTTTTTTTACTTTGGACTAGTCTTAATTCTAGTATCTGACTTGTAAAAAAATGCACAATATAGGAAGACCACATCACAAATTGCAATATATTCAATATACTTAACACAAATTTAAATGGACCCTTAAAAGCAGTAGGATTAAAATAAACACTTAAATTCACATTTGAAGAAGTTATGCAAACAATTAATAGAAATCCCTCCGGGAAAATTACTAAGTTTTGATTTTCAAACAATATGCTTGGTGCTTACCAGCAGTTCTTGCGGTCTGATTGAGTTATCAGTGTAGATACACAGCTTCTCTGCAGTTAATGGACGCGTCTCTTTCAATTTAGACGCAAGAAACATGCAAACTGCGCCGAGCAACTGCAAGTTACATTTTCTTGTTGGTACCACCGCTAAAAATCGGTCCAAGTAGTTCATAGCCAGTGGAAAAACTTCTTCCTCGCATTTCTGTTCCTCGCAGACCTGGAAAGGGCAGGGCATAACTTAATAAGTTCAGAGGAAAAGATGCACGTGGCGCAACAAAATTTGTGTAATTTAAATGACTCTCAAAGACTTTACATCTTAAAAATAATTTTAAGAATAAAACGAATAACGTAGTATTGTTCATTTGTTGCATTGAAAAGAGGCTGTAAATCTTAACGTTAAAATTGAGATAGATTCCAAAACTGTGAAAACCCTGTCTTGTTGTAGTTATAAAGATATACATTTATTGTGGACTCTAACATCTTTGTCAATAGGCTCACATTCCTTTGGTTCATTCAGTAAGAAATGAATTCAAGTCACAATCACCCGAGCCAAAAAACACCCAAGCAACACAGGACTGGATCTGTTTTTTTAATTCGTCATATTTTCATAAAATATTTAAAAATATAAATAAATTGTTTCTGTCAACTAATCTTACCTCTAAATATTCAGCTATCATTCTTACATCATTCCCGACAATTGACAAGTTATTTAATCGATGTTTTTTATGATTAAAACACGTTTTTCAAAACGAAGTACCATGCGGTCTCAGATGAGTGCGTCACCATCGAACCGAAATATTCTTTTTAAATATTTTTATAAATTGTCCTGGTCGATTCACCTGACAATTTAAAACATGAAAATAAAGCTAAGACCCCCCTCTATCATTTCCATATGTCAAACATAGGAAATATGAACGATTCTGACAAGAACTGAACTTAATTCCAAGGATAGACTTCGATCAGCATGGGTTAAGAAGCAATGCGGGCCGTCGCCCCTTCCGCAACCATACATTTAAAAAAATGTACAAAATTATAGAAAAGCAATCACCAACATATTCTACCATAATTATATACCCTAAACGCTCATCTACAAAGCCATGCACATGTTAACAGTTGTTATGATCATTTTGTTGCGATAAAGTTGTTGTGAGGAAAAAAAACAACATGGCGATGGTAAGCTGTAGCACAGCGGCAAGCATTGAAGTGCATACGTGTGCATGGAAATATTTATCTTAAAAATAAATAAATAATGTTAAGCAAGGTCCTATCCTCTGTGTTAACGTAACTGAAAACTTTATAAAATACGCGCTTGAGATCACTGACATATGTCGATAACCTCCATCCCTCTGCAATCGTGAACTTGGTCCAAAATCAGCGCTTATGGCTGCAATAAAATAGTAAATAGCCCAACAAAATCGCATTTGCTTTTTCGGAAATGTTAAAGCAGCTTCTTTAGTTGCATTCTACAATACTTACATGACAGAATGGAAAATGAAACGTTTGCAAGACGTGTTGAAGATACATGTAAGCACGGAAATGATCGGGTACAAACCTCTAACATCCATGTTGCCACCATCCTCCGCATAAAGGGCTGAATGTCTTTCTGAACGCATTTAAAATATGAACACTGAGGAAGAAACCTCTCTTCGATGGTCAGCAAACTCTGTAGTACCCTGTCATCATACAGAAGATTCGGATCAGGACGGGCTCTTATAATGGTGTCCATCTCGAGACAAAGCAGTTCCATGATTGTTACAGTCCTTTTCGACCTTTAATACGGCTACAAACAGTGAAGTACAAAAGTTGCGAAATGTCAAAAAGAGCAGAAAAGACTTCTCGGGTACATCAAATCAGTCTACTGGGCTGTCCAGGTTAGTCCTGATCCTTTTGCAAACTTTTCCCCACTAGTCTCTTTCTCTGCTCTGCTCTGCTCTTCTCGCTGCAACATTTGAGGTCTGCAGAACTCTGACGCAAGCAGACCTTATTATTGGCCAGACGGAACATGCTCAGTCTTCCTCTGCTTTTCCTCCCCTCTTGCTCTGGTTATGAGAGAATCAATAGCCTCCACACGATGGATAAAAGGACAACATTGGCTGGTGTATTCATGGATCATGCAAGATTTTAATGTTTAGTTAACTCGTGTATTTTTTTTAAAATGACAACACAAACTCACTGCAACCAACGCAACACCAAATGTTTATAAATCTAATAGGCTATCTCAAAGTATTCTAAAAATAAAGTGGTTTTGGTTTTGAATGTATTATTTTGCATACATTTTTATACCCATGCTCTTGGTGTCATGCAGACATTTTCATTACTTTGATTTTACAAATTAACAAAATAATGGTTAAAATGTATTGTTTTTTATTTAAGGGCGCTAAAACTTCACCTCGTCATCACAAATTAGAAATAGAAGCTATGAGCTGCAACTTGTGGTCAACGAGATAGCTTTCTAGGAAATGCAGCGAAAGCATGAAGCAACACTAGTCAGATATATCTGCTGAATAGTTAGTCTCTTTCCTCTATTATATAATGCATCGTTACATCGAAACCTATATATATATATATATATATATATATATATATATATATATATAGGATTCGAAAAGCCAAGCCCCGAAAGGTGATGCAGCATTTCAAAATTGTAATCTACCCCAATACATGCAGATCAACATTTATAACTCACAAACTCAATCAGAAATTCATTTAAATTGCAAATGAGACATAGCATATTAAACATTCGCTGGGAAATCTAAATTAAAAAGCGATTCAAAGACTTTTAAGAGAACATATAGCTGCGTTATTGATAGAGGTGCATCTCAAGGTTCTCAAGCTTGCTGGAGTGATTCTGAAGAACATAACAGACCGCAGCTATGAACTTTTGCAACAGTTTGCTTCGTTTCAACACTTTTAAATGTGCTAGGAAATGTCTCTTTAAAACATTTTTTTCGCTGTAGATTGTTCCTCCCCTTCTTACATAGCCAATAGTTCTTCTTCACGCGTTTGAGGCTTTCGGATTTGTTACTGGGCAGACTTTCTCTGTGCAAGTTCGCATTCTAAAGTGCAGAACCTAATCTATTTTACCGATCACCTGATGAACACTGCTAGATCCCAGAGACTGCCTCACGCAGGTGTCATGAAAAAAATTTGTAGCCTTAAAATCAGTCAGAGCATTTTACCCTCAGCAATGCTTTGATCAAATCAGAGATATAAAATGATAAGGCTTGGAATTATTTTAAATAGAATAATACGGATTGTAATTTGTGCTACAAAGGCAAATAATGCCTTGGAATAAACTATATTAAAGTAATAATTTTAAGATTATTTTGCTCATAAATCCAGACTTTATTTTATGACATTACCTCTACCAAAAACAGTTTTAGTCATTCTAAATTAATACAGCATGAAAAATTATGTCAGTCGCCGATATCATTTGATTTAAGGATGAATAAGCAAGTCCTGTTCCACAAGCGCTAACACATGTTGTAATTTCATTTTCTTTTTCAAACATGCGCGTTCTTCATATAAACTGCGGTATTACCCGCATGCTCCCGACACATGAAATGTCGCTATGTAGAGCAACACAAGTGGGTTTCTAAGCTTTAAATACTGCATTATTTGCTTAAAACATTGAGAATGACAACCCGCAATAACAAAAAAGGATGCATCCTTTTCCATTACAGTGATATAAAGACTTTTCTTTTTGCGCACCGAACCATTAGTGGGAAAGTAACATTAAGTTGTGATTCTTAAAAATTATGATTATAAATTATTAAAATATTGCACATTTCAAGGTTTCCTTAAAAACATTTAATTTAAAAGCTTAACATGTTAATTTATGTTTATAACACTGTCTTTATTAGCAAATGACAAGCATTTATTTATAATAAAAACAACCTACATAATCTGAGCATCATTTTGTTGGGATATAATTGAAACCTTAATTTATAAATAAATGCTTATTAGTAGTCATTTTAAGGCATTAAAATTTGCAAACATTTTTTCTAGATTTTTTAAAACAATAACAGTCAACATTAATATGAAAACTTTTGTTTATTCATAGATAACATAGTAAGAATATGTCTTAAACAAATCAATTATATAATATGCAAGAAAAACGCGTTAGAGTATCACATAACCCCTCCTAAGTAAAGAGTGATTCAGATTCATGTCTGTTCTTCATGCTTTTATATTCTATCTTGACCATGCTTTTTTTTTCGCGGAATAATGACGTCACATAACATGCTGGTGGGCTATGCGGCTCTGCTCATGCTATTTCCCGGATGCCTGCAATTAACGCGATATCCGTGAAGACACACCCAATGAAAGTTTGCTAGACCCCCAAAACTTGGGTAACAGTTAGGTTTTTCATTCATTCATTCATTCATTCATTCATTCATTCATTCATTTATTCATTCATTCATTCATTCATTCATTCATTCATTCATTCATTCGTTCATTCATACGTTTGCTCCACAGGGTCTAAAAAATTAGGGCTTTTCCTGAAATATTATAAGTAAAATCTAAAAGAATCAGTAATATTACTTATACATTTAAGGTAATGCCAAGATTAAGTATGTTTCATTGATAATAAATTTAAACACAACACTAGACTAAATTAAACTTAATTATGACATTACATCTTTATATGATCAGATATAAAACATTAACCTGGGTAAATTAGATCAAATATATTCATATTTTACATTTGATAATATAAAGACACAAAAAAAAAATAGTAAACTTTTTTAATTTACCATTTTTTTCACAAAAATATTAACCTGAATTCATTTAATTGGTTTTAAATCATTTCAGTTCTTTATGTTTAAATTTATTTTCTGCAGTTTAATTAAATAGAATTCCTTCTTAATTCAGCAACAGAACTGGAGGGAAAACATTCAAATTAGTTCAGTTTTTTAAATAATGAATTATAAATAACATAATTATAAACGATTACAATCTAAGTAACTGTATTTTCTGAAGAATGTTTTGAAATAAACAGGTGACATTTCGATAAGTCCCTATTAATATATATATATATATATATATATATATATATATATATATATATATTTATATTTATATATATATATATATATATATATATATATATATATATATATTAGAAGCAGCAAATACATCAAGCAAAAATTGTATTCTTATTTAAAAGGCATGAAAATAGAATAACATATTTCTCACAGTTATAATGTTGTGGTT